GATTAAAACAATAAAAATTTTCCACTTATGAGACTAGTTTGCGACATGCTCCATTTACGAGACTAAAATAATAAAGGGTCCAGTTACGGGACTAAAAAAAATACTTTACCCTTTAAATTATCTACTAATTATATTTATTCTAAATTTTCGTATTTATAGTAACTCGGACGTGTGAGACAAAGGAAACACTATTTATATAGGCATATGTGTATATAGTTTTTATTTTGTTCTAACTTGTATATACGCTCTCATATAATGACTCTATTTACACTATTTTGCTTTTTTTTTTCACCATTATTCATTTATAATAATTTTTTTAAAATATCGTATTAAATAATTTTTTTCATAAAATTTGAAATTAAATATTATTTTTTATTACTTGAATTTTTTTCAAAATTCCAAAGTTTTATTTTTAATTGAAGCTTAACAAAAAAAAAAAAAAAAAAAAAAAAAAAAAAAACAGATGAAATCGTGCAATAATTTTTTAATTTTATGCAACTTTTGCCCAACTTTTTATTGTACACGAAAAATTGGGAAACCTAATCATGATTAATTATGATTTGCATTTTATAAATTGCAATCACGCTAACAACACCTCAAATTTGAGCTTTTTCTAGGATCATTATGAGTCTAGTCATATTTCGAAATCTTTAAAAATTTTAAAGTTTAAAGTATGGAAGCAGCTCATTTTCTATGTACTCCCTCCGTCCCATAATTAAATATTCATTTGTTTTTTGTACGTAGTTTTAGATATATTAGTATTATATTTGGATATAGTAGGAATAAAGTAAAAATGACTAAAATAACCTTATTAGTATGTATGATATAAAGGTAATGACATTTGTGTAATATATTGTAAACTGTAAGGTTATTTGTAATATTAAATAGATAGTACAGTTACTAAAAAAGGAAATAGATACTTGAGACGGACTAAAATGAAAAAAATAAAATAATTACTTTGTTATGGGATAGAGGAAGGAGGAAGTATTAAAATTATAAAACAATCAATTTGTATTATTTTCCTATACAAAAATACTTGCTTATTATGTAGTTATAACGCTTGTATGTGCCCGCATAATAAATGCACCATATACCAAAATTTTAAATAAATAAATAAAGAAGGTAACCTATTTACATAGCAATTCTCTAGCGACTGCCCTTCAAATTTTTGTACCAATTTAAAACTTTACCCATTCTTAGTTGCGTGTTTACTAATAATTTATATTTAATTTATTTTCACCCGTACGTGTATTCTTGGAATAATTTCCCAAGCATTATAATATTTTTTATTTTCTTGATTGTGACACCATCAAATTTGCCACATCAAAATTCAAAAAGGCAATCCATTAATTACTAACAATCCCAAACAATTAATTCCAAACGGGCCACTAAGTTAGGTAATATTCCAAGGAAAGAACATTCCTTGATTTATTTATTTATTTTTTAAAACTATTTTCTCCCCCCACGAGTTTCAATAAAATACTCAATTTACATATATATATATATATATATATGGTAGACTATTTTTTATTGCAAAAATATGTATATATAAATCAAGGGTCAGCTTATTTTCAAAGTCAAGCAATTTAATCTTGGTGATGACTAATCTTGTGTAGAAATTATTGTTCATCTTAACCAAAAATGCAATCAAATAGTTGCTTCAATAAACACATATTTCCAAAATTTCGGCCACTTTTGGGAACTGAAAAAATTTAATTAATTAAGGCTGCATTGTAGTTTTTGTGCCTCGCCATTATTAAATTCTAGAATTATATTTTATTTTTATTATTTTTATTTTATTTTATTTTATTTTTTATTAATTTTAAAATATGTGTGTGTGATAGAGACATATGCGTGTATGTGTGAGTAATTAAAATTCAAATATGGGAGACAAGGGGTTCACATTGGTGTATATGGTTGCTCGCGGAAAACGGACATTTACTGACTAATCAAAACATTCAACTTTTTGGCAGCTCCATGGAGCAGAGATCCCGGAGGCGTATGAAAAATATTTTGACCTTGTCCATGTAAGTATTAGATCAAAAGTAAACATTTAAAATTAATACAAACATAAATTTCTTTAAATTACTATCAGATGTTCAGAGTTTTGTTTTTGATTTGGTTAATTTTTTTTATATAAAATATAGAGAATCACGTAAATAATATAAAAATAACAAGTGTATATAATATAAATATACTCTCTCCGTTCAGGTTACCAATTTTTATTTTCGTCCTCTAAAAAAAAACGTTATCATTTCATAATTTAGTAATTGTACTACCTACTTAACATAATAAATACCCTTTCAACTTACAATATATTACACAAATGTCATTACTTTTATATTACACTGTACTAACAGGGTTATTTTTATCTTTTTACTACAATCCAATATAATACTAATATTAAAAAATCTACGTGTAAAAAACAAACGTCACCCTTCCAACGGGACGGAGGGAGTATATATATTTGAGAAATATGTTGGCTTTTTTTTTCACAAAAAAAGAACTTGCTCATAGTTTACAATAAAATTAATTTTTTATACCATAATCCTAAACTGTGTCCTTTTAGGGATTTCAAAAAAGAAAAAAAAAATCATTTAATTAATTTTTTTTCTAAAAACATGAAATTAAATATTTATTGATTATTTTTTAAATTATATTAAAATTTAATTTTATTATTAACCTATTACATCAAAAAGTATTAAAATTTAAAATTTTATTATTATAAAGTGTAAACTCAAAATAATAAAAAAAACCCCAAACAAACACATGATCTTAAAGAATGGACTACCAATTCTGCAGTAGCAATGCTAAAAAAAATAAAATATAAAAGATAAATTGCATTCAATGAGAAGCAACAAGAAGAAGAATAAGATATGTAAATGAAAATTTACTGTAGCGCATAACAAGTCAAGTAGAACTGTAGAAATATGTTATACTGTAATTATTGCACTTTTAAGAATCCATTGCGAAACGCTGTCGTATAGGCAGCCAATGGTTCGTCATTATCACGTATTTATGACACATTCCATACATGACTACATTTATTCGAAAATTTGATTAAAGTCGTCAAAGCAACAACGCGGTTTTTGCCTTCTGCAGTGACTGACGTTTTTAGATGTTTGCTTGCCTTGAAATTGCAGAGTCACGTGACTTCAAAATTGAAATATTCAATACCCAATTTTGTAAATTGCATATAATATAATCTCTTCATTTATTTTTTCAACTATATTTTTGAATGTTAGTATTATATTGTATTGTAGTAGAAAAATAAAAATATATGTATTAGTACGGTGTAATATAAAAATAATAACATTTGTGTAATATATTGTAAATTAAAAGGATATTTATTATGTTAAATAGGTAGTATAATGACTAAATTAGAAAATAATAATCTTATTTTGGGACCAACGCCAAAATAGAAAATGGTAATCTTTTAATTGGACAGACGGTGGAGTATAAATTTATAACATCTTAGAAACATTTATTTTATTTATTTTTTTTGGTTTGTTTTAATATTTTTATTTGTATATTAACTTAAATATGATGTTTTAGTAAAAATAAATAATAAATTTGTATAGAAATTTGTTATAATTACATATAAAAACTTAAATCAGACTCAAAGCAAATAAAACTATTATTTTTCCCATTTTTATAAGCTTGTAGGAGTAATATTTAGAGTGATGCCAATGTATTTGTGTGATAATTAACTGATGGTCGATTTTGTCAATATATACTAATTACATTATAAAAATAAAAAAAAATAAAATAAAATAAGACTAATAGTGCAGTTTTCGTCAAATGCATGACTAGAAAAACGGCGAAGTGGGTTTAGCAGAAGTTGGCTTTCGGCAAAACTTACTTACACTAATACATAAACACAATCAATATTTCCTAATCACAATCATTGCATTTTTTGATTATTTTTCTCTAACTGCTAATTTGAAATTTTTACCCCATAAGTTGACCGGAGTTCCACCTCAAGGCGGCGGACGCCCGCCGTGCCCTGGCCGCAATACTCGCCTCAATTCTCTCTAATTATATATACCAACACTTCTCTATATATGTCAATTTTCATAGTTAAATATTTATATTCAATTATAATTACAGTTTTTTTTTTTGTTTTAATTATGAGATGAGATTACAAAATAATAGCATTTTATTTGGCAGTAAACGTGTGTAAATGATTTTAATATTTTGTTTATTTGACTTAAAGTAATTTTATATTTATCATTTAAACAAAAATTATAAGATATTTTGATATTAATTTATAATTAATTTTATTAAAAAAAAGATATTTTTTTAGTGAAATCTCCGTTAAAAAAATAAAAATAAAATACAAATATACTTTGAATTAGATCATAAGGCGAAAAAAATATTTACCTAAGTTTAACATTATTTATGATTAATGTTTTCTATAGTTATGTTAATAATTAAGCCCCAAAATGATGAGACTGGTACTATTTTGGGCCTCCGCGCACAGTTCATATGTTAAAATGAATATTTTTAAATCGTTAAAGCCCAATCAAAACTCCCGCTAGGGTTTATGGTATTTATCAACGCCACTTTCGTTGTGCTGCCGATTCGGCTCCCGAACGCCATACGATTTCTCATTTTCTTATTGATAATTGCTTGTCAGTGAGCGAGCGATGCTGAGAAGAAAGCCTACCAAGATCGACGTCAAGGTTGAGGACAGAGAAGAGCTCGAAGAAGCCCGCAAACGCGCCGCCGCCGCAGCTACCTCCTCCACCACCGCCGCCGCCACCGTCCTTCAACACCTCGACCGCTCCGCCGTCGACCCTTTCTCTAAGTCGCAGCGCATCGGTCTTTTCCCTTAATCCCCAAATCGGCACGATTCACCAATTCAATTTTTTAAAAAAATACTGCTTTTCATCGTGAATCATGAGGTACGATTAATTTAATATCCGTCATTGTATATGTTAGGGTTTTGATTTTGTTAATTCGTTATCGTGGAACTTTTTTTTTTTTGTGGGCTTTGGACAAGCAATGGGCCCAGCATATGGCCCATATGGGATTTTAATAATTACTAATAGAAACAAATCAAACAAATCCGTGTCCCGGCCCACCCAACACCAGCCAATCACACGCATTTCTGACAAGGGTGTAAATGTCATTTCCTAACATCATGTAACGTGGGGGCCAGGGGGGTCTCCACAGTCCACCGACCTTTACATGATGAGCGTTGTTTCCAATGAAGATCCGCCTCAGCCGTGGCCGGTGATCGTTACACGTGTCTCCTTCCACTTTCCATTATTATCTGATCTGTAATTTTTGTATTTTTTCCGCGCATTATATTAATAAATAAATAAAAATAAAATGAGGATGACAAACCTTTTTATTATGAATATTTTACGATGTTTAGCCATTTATTTATTTATAATATAGGTATATTAAACACTTAAATAGAAACATTATTGATTATTTAAAGTTACTCTAAAATAAATTCATCAAATTTAAAATTAAATGTAAAAGTTTTGATAATGTCGAGTGTGTTATTTATGGCACTTAAAATTTCTTAGGTAGAAAGCATTCATCAATGTTTTCATAATCTAAGAGCCAATTGGACCAAAAAACTAAAACAAGTGAGCATTTATTCAACCTTTATGTGGATCTCATTTACTTAGAATTAAATTTGTGAATATAGTCAAAGCATTGAAACCTAATATTTCATTGAAACCTAATATGTTTTCCATCTATTGTACTAAAGTATATTTATACAATTTTTTAGGTGATTATATTTTTGTTATGAATTGACAAATTTGTCCTTAATTGTATGGTAAAGACTAAAAGTAATAAATGAATGAAGGGTAAAAAAAATTTAAAATTTGTATTTAAAAAAAAAAAGAAATAGGACAATAGTTGTTGAACTTCCAAATAGGAAAGTAGGATATTAGTTTGTGGCTGGAGGGAGTATTAAATAATTAAATAATATACCAAAGGTAATAAATGCAACTAATAATACCATAGTGAAATAAGAAATATTCAAAATTGGGCGCGGCTAATAAATAATATATCCATCCACAGGTACAATTAATCAATAGGATACCTAACAAACACGGTATAGTTTCCTAACATGTTTATAAATCTAAATAAACAATCTCAACTCTTCCGATTAATTATTCTAAAAAAAATAAATATAGTATATAAATTAATTAAACGAGTCATATCTTTTCAATATTTTTTTATGAGAGACATTTTTATTTTTATTTTTTCTATTTTAATATACTCAATTCAATGTATTTTTATTATTATTTTTTTTTTTGTGACGTGGGCTCTATTTATGTTTACTCCAATGTATAATGAATTTAATTAATTTCCATCTAACCTATACCTGTAAATGTGGTGTAGTCTGTGGGGAAAGAGCGAGGGCGGTTTGGGAATTTCAGAGCTAGAGGGCATGTCGGTAAAATTATAGGGTATGTTTACGGGTTTTGGTTTTGAGTTTTTATTTTGCATAATAAAATTTTAATTGAAATAATTATTTAATGTGATATAATATATTAATATGTATTGAAATATAAAATTAAATTTTAACTTAATATAATAAATAAATAATAAATGTTAGATTTAATGATTTTTTGGGAATTTTTTTTTTTAAAATAATAAAACTAAAATCAAAATTGTACCTATGTGTTCCGGGGACAGAGGTTTGGCTTCTTCCTCTTTCCTGGAATAAAACAGAGAAGTAGAAAGAAATGAAATATTAATTTCATCACACAAAATAATAATAATAATAAAAAGATTAAAAAGAATATCTGGCAATTGGTATGGTTATTGCTGCAGCGGCTTTACATATCGGAATCTATAAAAGGTTAAAGAATGGCTGCCGGAGCCAGCCAGACAGCTACAGAAGTCCAACTCATTGTGAATTCCCATTGGACTCTTTACAATACCTCTTCATCTCTCTCTCTGTCTATGGCGTGTATCTTTTGAATACTAACTCCTCTTCTACGCGTGATTTCCATTTATATATACATATATATATTGATACGCACAAACGCACGCGCGCAGCGGCGGAGGAGACTCGGCTCTATTGGCGTTTATCACTAGAAATGGCCGCCGCCGCTCTTCGACTTCGGCTTCTGCTCCTCTGCATATTGCCAGGTTCGTCTTCTTCTTCTTCTTCCTCTTCGTCGTATCTCTTCTTTTATTTTCTAATTGGAGTTGAAGATTGGAAGATAGGTTTTTTGAGCTTATACATTTCTTCGCATTCAATTCCAGAGGCGGCTGCTGCTGCTGCTGCTTCTGCTTCTTCTTCGTCGTCGTTTTCGTAATTTAATTTTAATTTTTATATGAGGTGCTCTTCGGTGATTACTCTACTTTCCGTTGTGTTCTTCGATCCTGTGAATTTGAAATCTGCTGTTTCTTCAATTCAGCTCTCATTGATAGATTGATTAATATCGTTAACGTTTCTGAATTGATTCGATTCGATTCCATAATTGATTTATTCCATTATTGCTGCTGCTTCAATAATTCAATTGGAAATAACATTAACCGATTCAATTACGCTTTCTATTCACCAATCGATTCCATTCACTGTTCTATCTATATATGCTTTGAATCACCAACTGAAGTTCATATCCAGCAGGTTTGTTCATCGGCGGCATTCAAAGCCTAGACATGGGAATCAACTACGGCCAGATCGCCAACAACCTCCCGCCGCCATCCCGAGTCTCGTACCTCCTCCGCTCCCTCAACATTACCCGCGTCAAGCTCTACGACGCCGATCCCAAAGTCCTCACCGCCTTCGCCAACACCGGCGTCCAATTCATCATCGGATTAGGCAACGAGTACCTCCAGAAAATGACCGATCCCGCCCAAGCCCAATCCTGGATCCAGCAGCACGTGCAGCCCTACATTTCCCAGACAAAGATCACGTGCATCACCGTCGGCAACGAGGTCCTCACCGGCAACGACACTCAGCTCATCTCCTACCTTCTCCCAGCAATGCAGACTGTCAGCTCAGCCCTATCAACTCTCGGCCTAAGCAAGCAGATATACGTAACAACCGCACATTCCTTCGGCATCCTAAGCAGCTCCTTCCCGCCTTCCTCCGGCGCATTCAGACAGGACCTCATCCAATACATTCAGAGTATTCTCAACTTCCATTCGCAGACCGGCTCCCCTTTCCTCATCAATGCATATCCGTTCTTCGCCTACAAGGACAGTCCGGGGGAGGTGTCGCTCGACTACGTGCTCTTCCAGCCCAATCCCGGGATGCTCGACCCTGCCACGAACCTGCATTACGACAACATGCTGTATGCACAAATCGATGCAGTCTACTCAGCAATCGGATCCTTGGGACACAACAATATACAAGTTAAGGTATCCGAGACAGGATGGCCTTCCAAGGGTGATCCTAATGAGGTTGGGGCTACACCAGAAAACGCTCGGTTATACAACGGGAACTTGTTAAACCGAGTGCTACAAAACCAAGGGACTCCAGGCAAGCCATCAGTTCCAGTCGACATCTTTGTTTTTGCACTCTTTAATGAGGATTTAAAGCCCGGGCCGACCTCCGAGAGGAACTACGGATTGTACTACCCCAACGGCATTCCAGTCTATAACATCGGATTGCAGGGGTATTTGCCGCGTATGGATTATTCAAGCTCTACCAAAAAAGTGAGGACACATCTATATACATACATACATATAGTTTTAATTTTCCTGTTTATTTCATGACTGATTCGATGCCGCTTCTATGGCTTTTCCTCTTATGCTTTTCAGGTGTTACTTCTCTTCAATTTCTTCCTTCCTATAGTTTTTTCGATGGTTATTACATCGATCCAAAGATAGCGAAGGAGCCATGAGTCTGAAGTGATCAATGCCAAAGCACTTGTCTTTGGGAAATTAAATTCAAAAGGTAACCACATTATTGTATGTTGTTCACATAAGTTAGTTCTTGATTAGAAGATGGCTGTCTTGGAAAAAGTCCAGGTTGTGTAGTGTGGATGTGGGGAAGGGAGGGGCATGATGGACCCACCCCATATATTATTTCTTGTGCTTTTTGAAGAAATCTTACATCAATCCATGAATTAATGCTGATGATAAGATAGAGATAAAGATAGATAGATAGAGAGAGGGAGGGACATTTTGACAAGTCCCTTTTTTTTATGGATGAAATGAGTGTGTAGTAAGTACCTAATTCCCAACAAATTCAATCCCACAACTAACTAGCTAATAAGGCTTTACCTGCTGCTGCTGTTCTGAGCTGTGGTCCACACCTCATGTCCGAGTTTGTTGTGGATAATGAATGTGTATTATGAGCTATCTAATAATAAAAGCACCATTATCGTCATCATCATCATGTTCTCTGTTTCTTGAACCAACTGTGTGTACTATTTACTCATTCTTGCCTTTGTTTGTAGTAAACGAATGACACATGTTGTCTCACCATATCATGTATACAGCATCTGAATGTAGTTCTTGAACCCTCTTGTCATTTGTCATTATAGTCTTCTTCTGTTATCTATTTTCTTTCCATTTCCATTTTCATTTTTTATTTATTTTTTGCTGTGGGCTTGTGCCTGTGCAGGTGAAGCAGGATTTTGCTACTTGTAGTGGACAGAGGTTCTTACAGCAGTCAAAGTGTTAAACCCCCTCAAACAGAAAGGATTTCATTCATTGGAGATTCGGACATTGTTTTAGGAGATTCATTACATTACTCTACTTAGAGGTACAAAAATAAAAGAAAAAGGTTTCATTGGGGGTTGAGGCTAAGTTATTGTACGCATAGAGAGAGAGAGATAGAAGACATTTGAGTTTGTGAAATTTTCTACTGACACCCATCATATGTATTTTGTATGTATGTATAATCAATCAATCAATCAATCAATCTTATTTATATTAAGACCTCAAACGCATCCAAACAATCTCAACCGTTGGATTCCAAAGAACCCAAATGTATTAACTCTCGTAACGGAAAAATAATAAAGGCACAGTCCAGAACAAAGCGTTTGACCCAAGTTAAAATACCGAAAATGACCTCCAACACAAGGCCGGAGCACCGGGGTCACATTTGTCAATTCGCATCGGCCGACGCTTCCTTATCCCTCACCCCACACTCTCCACTCTGCACTCTTCCCCCAATAATTCTCGCCGCCGGCACATTCTCCGATGGGCAGAGGTCGGAAGTTCAGCTGGGGGTCGGCCCTGGTCGGAGCGGCGGCGGCGACGGCGGCGGCGCTAGCTCTCTCGGCGAAGCCACGGGACCCGACGTTCCACCTGATCTCCATCGATCTGACCTCGTTCAAGCTCAACTTTCCGGTCCTCGACGCCGAGATGATCCTGACCGTCCACGTCACCAACCCTAACATCGTCCCGATCAACTACTCCGACACAGAGATGGCAATCTATTACGCCGGCTCCCTCCTCGGCTCGGCTCCCGTCCAAGCCGGCTCCCAGCCGTCCCGCTCGTGCCAGCTCCTCCGGCTCCCGGCACGGCTCAGCGGCCTCCAGCTGGCGCACCACGCGAAGGACCTCCTCGCCGACGTGGGCCGGCGGGAGATGGTGCTCGATTCGACGGTGGATATCAGCGGAGCCGCCAAGGTGCTGTGGTGGGACCACAAGTTCAAGGTGCACGTGGACAGTCACGTGATTGTCGATCCCGTCTTCCTCGACGTCATTGATCAGGAAAATCAATCCAAGCTGGAAGTCTTCGTTCACGAATGACCACAATTGACCCTTTTTTACCTTATTTTTACCGCTGATTAATTACTATTACTGCGTCTATTTATAGTTACTGCTCTGTCGAACACTACATAGAAAGAGAGCTCTAGAAAATGATTGCAGTGACAGTCGATTTTGAGTTATGCTTAAATTTTTACATCTCTATATTCTGTGATTTGGTATCGTCGTCGTTATCGTGGTTGTTGATGATTGAATTTAGCCTTTGGGTGCTGAATTAATCCAAACCCTATATTATATTATCAACGGTCCAGATTGATTTGTTATTTCATCTTTAATTACGTAAAAGACCAATGCCTGATTTTGACATGGCTGACAAGTGCAATTTTATTAAACCTTAAATAGTTATTTATTTTATCTAACAAATCCGTACACCGTGTTAACATCTGAAGCAACTTGTAATAATAAAATTAGCAAACAATTGGATGAAAATAAAGAGATATTGTCTCTTAAAGATGAATCTAGTTACGCTGAAATTGAATTTGTATGGTCGTGGATTCAAACTCTGACGCCTCAGGTCACTGCCCATACATATGGTTCGAAAATCACGTCATCAAAAAAAAAAAAAAAAAAAAAAAAACAATATCAAAATCAAAAGGGACAAAAAGTGTCTCTCTCTTACTAAAAACAAACAAACAAACATGGATGAAGATCTTGGTCATGTAACAATTTCTTACCATGTCCAATTAAAGACACCTTACAAATTTCTATACGTTCCAACAATTTTCTTGGACATGATGCTGCTCAATACCAAATGCTTCTGAATAGTACCGATGAAGGAAAGCCATGAAAGGTTTGCACTTATTAGGAGCCTCCTCTCTCTCTCTCTCAAACTCTATCAAAATGATATTCCAGACAAATGAAACATTAGAAATCCCTTGCACCAAACTATCACTTCCATCCTAATCAGGATTTCGAGGCATGTTCTAAACCATTTTGTCTACATTCAACATTTCCCAGATCAATATAAATCATCAAACACGATTACCAGAAATTATAGTGGTGAAATTTTTAAAGGAATACATCACCTGGAAATTGTCTGACTGTAATTTCTTTCTGTGAATGATTTTAATTCCGCAGATTGCCACTGGCTTTGGTCATATACTCAACTACATCACGATTGATCTCCTCGAGGAACGAGACAAACCCCATGATGCTGGTGAAGCCACTTCCCTCAACATCCTGCTCCTCGATCAGGTAGTTCTCAAACGCCGTCGCATCATCTTGCCCACCCCTGATAAATATGAGCTTCGGTGTGATTATCCGCTCCTGCTTCACCTTGTTAATGGTAGTCCTCAGAAGGCCTGAATTAGAAATGACATATTAATTTGTAGATCAGCAAAAAATACTGTTTTTCCAGATGCCATGTTTAGCTGTATGTTCCCCTAACAAACAAATTAAAGTATCTCTTTCATCAAACATATTTTTTCACAAAATATTTATTTACCCAATCTTATATAAATATGATAGATTTAACAATTTAATGAACTATCTGATCATGGCATCACAAAACCTCTATATTCCATCAATCCTATATAAATCAAATGTAGGTTAAAAACTATTCTTGGTTATTCATATCAGCAAGAGCAAATAATTTTCATACATTAGAGACAAGCTAAAAGTGCAGGGCGCTGCTGAGAATCAACTTACAGTCTTGGGGTGGAGGAAAGGGGAGTGAGGTGTTGGCTGTAGATGAATAAAATACGATGAGAGTTGTAAAAGCATCAAGGAAAAATATCGGGCTGCCACTTGTTATCAATGCAGCACGGCTCAAGGAATGGCGAGGGAATGCTTGTTTATCCGGAGTTTCATATGATGACAATAATGGGTATACCGCCCGGCTGAGTGATGAAGGTTCCAGAGCACTGCACAATAAATTATGATTGTAAGTTTGAAAATGCTTGAGGGATGCATAATATATAATATAAACAGCTAATCAGCTACATCTAAGAACAGTGACTTGGTCTGAGAAAAGTTATTTATTTTTTTTTTTTTTCACGATATTCAAACAAATAAAAGACAAATACGACTGCTAATGATGAAAACTCCAGACACAGTTATGTTGGTGATAAACAAAGCTAGCTTACATTTCTATTTTATTTATTTTTTCACTTATGAAAACATATTACTATGAAGATTAATTACACTCCAGTGAGTTTTCAGTAATTATAGTACACGTGTTTCCATGAATGGTAAATATAGGTCACCAAGTAGTGCACTAAAAAGCTCTACCAAACAAACATGCAGGCACTTAATAACAAATCTGCATACCTGAACAGACATTGAAGATATATTCGGTAGTCAGGATGAACACCTTCTTCATGGAACCGAAGAAGAGGGTTGCGCAGCAGCGCAAAGACTAGTCGTGGCAAAGATTGCAACTGAGGGCATTGGGTGAAGGCAACATCAACTTGAGAAGTGGTTAATGCGCCTCTCACATATTCAGCAAGCTTGTAAGCATCATTATACTGAGCTGTAAGATTTACAAGCCACTCATGAAGTAAAAGCCTTCCCTCTCGAACACCATTTTCCAAAGAGGACAGAATCACCTGAAAAACAAAGTGAAAGTTGAGAAATTAATTAAACTATAAGATACTTCTGGATCTCAGAGGATACATTAAGGTAATCACAGGTAGGATGTATTGGAATGTTCTGTAACGGCTCAAACCCAGGTGAAAGTTTACAATAAAACTCATGAAATGTACCGTATGCTAATTCAGAAATATTTAACATAGTTTCTCAATCTTTTTCAATTATTAATATTATTTTAACATAAACGTAGTTTCTTACCTTATCGTATATATGTAATAATACTTCTTCAGTAGTGAAGAAATTAAATTTTAGTAACAAAATTTGTGACAATGAATTGTGGAAAAGTTATGCAAGTACTCTGTTATTTTCCAGTAAACTATGTATAAATAATTAAACATATATCGGCACATTTAGACACACCATCATAAGCAAAAGCATTAGTGCTTAGGACTCAAAAGCATTAGTACATAGAAAGGTGACTGCAGGACTCAACTTTTCTTCCACAAGCCACTTGAAGAATGCCAAAACAAAATCAACATGTAAACCCAAATGGCAGATAATAAAATCTTACCTCATGCACAAGTATGGAAAGAACAACTTCAGGATCAACACCGTCATAAATCTCGTTTATATTTCTTGCAGTTCCAAATTGAACAGTTCTGATTCGTAGCCTCCTTTGAAGGGAGTATTTGGCTCTGCAAGTACTTTCAACATATAAGTAAAAAATAAAAAAAAAGAGGAAACACATGGTTTTTAATGTTCTCAAGAAACTGGATACACATGCTATATATAGTCAATTAAATCCTTCAAAATGTAACATCAATTGAGTGGCTGTGATATTTTCACTGAATTAATGATCCATAGCTTCTAGAACAAAGCACAAAATAAGCATCAAAACTTAAACTAAGATTGTGCTATAGTCTCTGAAACCACCAAATGTTACAAGCACTTCTTCACATAAAATGCACAAAGCTGAATGCATGCATCAGAAATTGACCATGTTATGAGTGCTAGAAAGAAAGTATATACCTTATGAGTGCTAGAAAGAAGGTATATACCTTATAGAGGGACTTGAACCTAATTTTGTGGTCTCATCAGGAGGCACAACTATAGTGTATTGAAATGCAACCTGTATTGTCGGGAGTTCTTTGCTGTGCCTGAAAGGTGGCGAAAAAATTATCAAATTCAAGATTTTAGAAAAGTTGAAAACAGAAACACAGAAGACATACAGGACGTAGGAGCAACCATATATCAAATTGTCACCAAAACTAGGAAAATATAATCAACTACATGTTTCGCATGGCTTGAAAATGCTTACATGTGTTATTTAGTTAACAAAGCACATGCACGATGGCATATAAATACAAAACTCAACATATGTCACAATGATGTTTTTGCAGGAACCAACTTGATAAAACATGAAAATTAATCGAACTATCAGAACAATGCTTTGGCCATAGGGGGGAAAGGTTTTCATAAATGCCACATTGTATCAGATCCTTGGGAAGAGAGATAAAGGACAGTCCATCTCAACGGAAATTGTCAAAAGTTCATGTTATCATATTCCCAAGCCTGATACGTGCATCAAATACCATATGCCCCTCTCTGATTTCTCAAGATGAAAGGATAGCACAACAGTATCAATTAAGAAATTGGGCATTCAAATATTGATTGCAACAAAATGTATTATGAACCAGAATTCATCTGATATGTTAAAGCATCTGAATGAAGAAAATTCACAACATCATAATCATATGAAATCATATCTAGTAATAACAGTACCAAGTGATTCATTATAATCAATGATCAATTTTCTGCACAATGCTTGAAATACATTCAAGGGGAATAATAAAACTTAAAATTGTTGCATGTTCCAGAAGTAACCAAGACTAGCACGCTTGAAGAAGAATAAACAAGACTGCATAAGTTATTTCTTACCTAGAAAATCCAACACCATTTACAAAGTCAAAGTCATAGGCATATGTGGCAAAGGAATCGCAGCAAATAATATGCTGAACATTTTCATACTCTGGGTCAGGAAAGAAATGCCCATACTGTATCACCAAAACCGTAAGCATTGTTACACAGTTACAACAACAGCATCAATATTCTGAAATTAAATGCACTAGGACTTACTGAATGGCTGAGCTTAAATTCTGATGATGTCCTCACCCGTAGGATGCAATTGAAAGCATATGGTCGATTTAGCATACGGTACCTGCAGTGAGATATATTGTCTATAATGAAAGTGAATAAATCATAAATTAAACAAGCTTACCAATAATATACTGTTCATTCATTAATTATTCAAGTTAAAATTTTAAGTATTCTCAAGTTTCAAATTACTTTTAAGAGTAGGAATTCAGTACTAACATGTCTTGAGGAAGTGTTGAGTCATCAGTGCTTGAATATAGAAACAAAGAGCCACCGCTCTCGATGCTAAGAAATTTCAGCGATGCTAGATCAGTGTACTCATTTGTGACAGCAAATATATCCACACAAACACCAGCTTGAACAGCAACTGCAGCCTGGCAAGGGCATATAATCATCAAATCTCTTATAAAAACCTTGAATGAGAATTTTTTATGTTTAATCTATGTACCAAATCTTTGTAAAATGGAGTCTGCTCAGGCAATAAAGCACGATCTGCATCCTCTCCTTTACTAGCATATTGCTCACCATACCGTCTGGTGTCTAGCTGGCCAAGCCCATAATCTGGAGGGCCAGATAAAAATGCAAAGACCCTGGCTGCGCTTGAATTCAGTGAAATAAACAGACAAGAAAGAATTAGCAAGTCTCAACCTTGGCTACTATAGCATTTAGAAATCTGACAAAAACATCTAAACAGGATCCCAGAAATGCATGTGTATGAAAAAGAGATGCCATAACTAGAATATTAAATCAAAAGATGTTCAATAAACAGCGTTGAAGTTATCGTACCTAATGCATATGTATTCCCATATTCCGATCCAAGATATTTGAGTAGGGCTTCCATAGCAACTCCAAAGCCACGCCCTCCGAGTAAAACACCATCTGATTGCCCAGCAGCTGTAGTCCGTTCCCATGAAGTGGTTGGTCTTAGAGTTTCGAGTGCAGCTGTGATACGGTCTTTACATGTATCAACCTATATTAGATCATTACACAACACTCCAATTTCAAAGCTTTTCATCCTTATTAAACCTGTAAGAGAATTTTGAATCTAGTCGAATAGAATATCGAATTAATTCACATACTGGAGCCAAAAAGGAAAACAATGGCATGACATCTTCAAGCCCCATTGCCAGATTTCCAAGAGAATCTGGTGGAATGAACACATTCTTGACCACGGGAATAGGCCCCTGGACATCATACAAGCCGATTTTGTGGCTGAATGTAGCAAGACCAAAAAGTGACCCAGGGCCAAGAGCTGCAAAATTAGAAGAATAATACCTTGATTTAATTCCATCTGTTAATAACTTGGACATGGGAATCGTAATATTACAAACCTTCTAATGCAGCCAACAGAGCAATTTTTGTGAGTTCCAAAAACTCTTCTGATGCTGTGGAAAAACAGAATTCATATAATCAGATGTTACGTATCTTCGAAACACAGTGGCATCAGCATCATGTATAATGAAATAGGAGTTCAGAACTTGGAAGTGATATAGAGACAATGATATGATACTCCAACCCACACAAACTAGTATAGTGTTGTAGATCCTCTTCAAGATGCAACATTTGTTATAAAATGACTCCACAGGATACAAAGTACGGGCTTTGTGCAGTTACAAGAGAGTCTTATTTTGTCCATCTTCTGTATTCAACAATTTGTGAAAAATTCTGAGAGCAAATGCACGGTTTGAAAAAAGGAATTGAGACATTGGAGCATTTGCACTAATTATATCCGTATATTTCAAGCCAATGGATGCCCATTAAAATTACTCGACCAAACTGTAGAGGAAAATCGAAGACTTATAGATTGAAATACAATTAAAGATGAAAATAGCCAGTGGTAGAAATAGAATTTACAACATAATTAAACATAATCTTACAAGAGAGATCAACTGCAGCAACGTACACTGGTCTTGCCTCCATCTCCCCATCTCCTTCAACTGCCACAACAAAATTGAAAAATGAAAAATCAATTCAACCAGATGACATTGTTTATCCAACCCATAGACAAGAGTGGTGAGTAAAAACCTCTCAAACCACAACCAATACAAGCAGTAATAAGTAATTCCACGGGGCAATAACTTTTTCACACCCTATCCTTAAAGATGCCCATAAAAATCTTCCCATATTCACCCAACAAGTGCATAAAATCCTTTCATGGTTCAAAGCTCTTAACTGCAGAATAATAATTAGAAAAGAAACTAGAACTTCAAATTGAGCACTACAACTAGACTGTTCAATTGTTCAAAAATACACTCAAACATAAGTTAAGAGATTGCATTTTCATGGCAATCCAATTTATAGTGCCAACACATGATAAAAATGCAATTTTAATCCTGGCAGGCATATAGCCACTAAAGCACAAGACACTGAACATTATTACATTTCTATTAAGAGAAACTTGGTAACTAAAATGCCTCTCCTAGGTAGTAGATTAAATGGGCCAAAGTTCTTAACTTCAATCCTTCGGATATTCCCCTACACTGGATCAACGCCGAACACATCGCACAACTAAAACAAACGGGCGGGCACCCTAATCCGCAGCTAGAAATGGAATACACTGGCAGTAGATAAACAATCAACAAAGAACAAAACGCCTGAACTCACCCATGACCTAAACACCTAATCTCGAAATGTAGTATAGGGTTCGAAAAGAATAATTACGTGGTAATTCAAGGTCAATGAAAGAAGATGCATTCTCGGGGTAGGTTTGGGGGCCAGAATAGCGGGCAATGGACGCAGACGTGAGGCCATTAGTGGTGCCACAGAGAGAACAGTCCCACGACCACTGATCCTGCTCGCAGTAGGTGTTGTAATAAGCCCAGCAATTCTCGCATCGAGGCAGCAACTCCCCACCCGATCCATAGCAAGGCGGGATGTCATTCTCGTCCCTCCCCGCAAATGGCGTCAGCGTCAAGCCCCACGGCACGCCGCACGCCTCCTGCTCCGCCGGGTCGCCCGGAAACCGGGCCATCGTCGGCCGAACAGCCATCCCGATCCGATGCGAGATTCTAATCGAGGGAGAGGGTTTATTGAAGTTTCTTTTTTTTTTCCTTATTTTTTACTTGAGATATTTTTTACTTGAGATATTAAAACGCCAGTACAAAATTGGAAGATCGACACCGGCCGGAAAGGGGGACTGCTTGTGCTGTGTAGGCTGGACCAATTGGAAATCGCCACGTCCGATATTTGAATTTGGTATTAAATTAGAGATATAAAATTCATTTGAGAGTGCTTGGTAATAAGTTATTTTTTAAAGTATCTTATTAGACCGTAAAACTTATTTCTTATCTACCCAGTGTTTCAAAAACATTTTTATTTTAATTATCTTAATATCATATTTACATTTAAATATTAAATATTTTCGTTACACATGTATTTTTATTTATTATTTATATATATACATATATTTATGATCAATGGTGATTTTATATTTTAAATTTCAAGTAATTAATATTAACAATTATTTTATATATGGTTTATTTTTAAAATTTATTAAATTAAAAAATATATATATAAATATTATTAATTTATAATATATATATTTATATTAAATTATATATTTCTTTTTCTTATAAAACATTAACAGATCCTACCGGACGACTTGGGCGAAAATATGTTTTGCAATTTCAACATATTTTTCAAAAAATTTATCGGTATGGTAGTATGTAAAGTTCATTAGAACATAAACAAATGCTCATTTATGGACTTGTTTTACAAGATTTTTCTTTTTTTGCCATAAGTAAATTTTTATTTTTTTTTTAAAAAAGGATAATGATAATTTCACAATTGACTACTTCATTTATGAATTTCATAATAATAGAAATTAATGTTTTACCGAATATGTAATTGGCAAAACAACAAAAAAAACTCTGTAGTTTATCGAATCTGTTAAAACTCCTTCGTAATCCTAAAACTTCAAAAAAAACCTACTCGTGGTTTGTAGAACGTTGCACACTCGCTCCACTCTTAAATCACACTGACGCTGTTAAATTTTAGTCTTATCAGACAGTTATGTCCTGCCTTTATTTTTTACTCGATGTTTTTATTTTCTCAGATCATTTTTCCGTTATTTCTCTCTCTTATGTTCTTTTTTCTTTTCTTCTCCACGACTTCTTTCTTTCATCTTCTTTTTTCCCCAAAATTCCTATTCACACATCTTTTTACTTAATTTTTCTCTTCTTCTTCTCCAATTTTTTTCAGGCCACAGCAGTCCCTTTCTTTCTTTTCTTCTTTTTCCCCCATTTTTTTTCTTATTCTTCCTCTCCAATCGTTTTTTGAAGAATGAAGAATTGAAAAAAATAAGAAGAGAAAGAAGATGACGGGATTGATTTCAAATCTTGATGTCAAATTAAATTTTTAGATTTTTGGGTTTGGTAAAACAAAAAAATATGTGGATTTGATAAGATATGACGTATCCATATCTTGCTAAGATTTACCATATCCATGATAAAGTGCCTATATAAAGGGAGAAGTCCTCTCTTGTACTTCACTCCAGTTTTGAATCAATAAAACACTCTTCTTTGCCGAATACATCTTATAGTGTTCTTATTTTTAGCAGGTATTGGAGTCGTGTACGAGGCTGCACTAGCGAGTTCTCGAGGGAGTCGAAGAATCGCTAGGCCGACGGGGAGGTGTTCGAGGAGGAACCATCCAACCCGTTACAAGTTATTTATGGGTTTGGTAAAACAAAAGAAGAAATTGACAGTAATAATAACTTATGCATTCTCATCTCCATCTCATGTCGGGTCAATTAATTATGATAAATTTGGGATCAATATGTGTTTAGCGGATTTAAAATAAAAAAATATGAATTGGGATAAAATTCTAGAAATACGCGGAAGAATAATAAGGAAGAAAAAATGAGGAATAAAGATTGTTGTAAAAAGTAGTGGGTATTTTAGTAATTTTATACAAAAATATATCACAGCGATTTCAGACGCGTGATATATAACCTCCGTTAAATCCTAACTGACAGAGGATTTTTGGCAATATTTTGAAACCACATGTAGAATTTTGGAGTTTTAGAACCATGGGGGATTCAGCAATTTCGGAAAACTAAGGGTTTTTTTTTTTGCTATTTTGTCTTTGTAATTTGCTATTCTCTTGCCTATCGTATAAAGATTGACCTACACTTATAAGATTATTCATTCGGATCAACTTGAGAGTCCAACTACATTGCATTGCCTAATTCATGTTGAATATTTGAAAGATGCTGATTTCTTTATTAACCCATTTTCTCTTCAACCCGCTGAGACAAAATGTAAGACCGGGGCCAACCGCTTCAACATGAAAGAAATCACTCACTAAGTCGGAATCACTGACTAATACTAATCGAATTTGAATATAATAAAAAATACTAATAGAATTAACTTATTCGTCCTGAGTAAACATGTCTTAAACATTATTCTTCCATATATTTATAAGAGTTATACTTATTTTTGTGCGAATATTAAAAAGTTTAGCATTTTAATGATAGTTTATGTTATTTTATATAGAGTGACGGACAATATACCATTATGAATCTATTAATAATATAATGATATTTATATAAATAAATCTAATTGGAGTAACATTTGTAATATTTAATAGGTACAATTTACTAAATAAAAAATACAACTTTGGTAACTTTATATATTGTGATTACAATATATGATGTTAAGATTATAAGTTCACTGCAGATATCACTAAGGCCTGCTTAATAATTTTGTTCCAAGTTTTTTAAAAGGTAAACCTCACGTGTTTATCTTGTACATTCAATTAATTAAACAGTGGTATTTCAATTAAAACTGATTTAATTATATGCCTTTTACGTTGGGTCACTATCGTTGATGAAAAGGAAATTGTCAAACAGATTACAGCTGGCCGACCTTCCTCGTCCCTGGTTTATTTACCACGCGCTACGCCCACTGCTGTACGGTATTGTACTTCCGTCAGAGTCATTAATTTTGTTGACTTTTATGGATACGAGAGACCTAGGTACAAGTGTTTGAAGCGGGTCTATTAAACACCGGCCGCAGGAGATTGCTACTTGATGGGGGTATATAAGCCGCCCCTCTTGCAGTGCTCGCATCTCGCTTAGCTCCAATGGAAGATGTTGGCGGCGGCGCCACCCGATTGCACCACCCGCGCGCCTCGCGGTCCTCCGACAGGTTTTTGGGGATCGTAGGACCGCAACCGTTATCCGCCGCGTCTCCGGTGGAGCTTTCCGAGCAGGATATCTTCAACACTCCATCGGGGAGTTCGCCGCCTTCACCTACCTACTCCGGTTCGAGGAGCCCTAACTCGACGCGAAGCGCACCACAAACTCACAGACGCGGACAGTACGGCATCCTAGCGGCTCTCAATGACAATCTCAGAGCACGTTCCGGATCCGGATACGGAATCCGACCAGTGTTCAACCACAAGGCGTCTACATCGGCATCATTATCTTCATCCTCCTCGAATTCTCCGGCGACGACCTCCGCCACGTCTCGGATGATGATTCCGAGGAGGCATCCGCCTCCGCCGCCGGTCGATAGGACGCGGCTACGGCATCAATCCGCGCCGGTGAACGTGCCGGTGATGCCGCCTGCGATGATGCGGAGAGCTAGGGATTTGGAGAACGTACTATCGGAGAAGGAGGGGGAAGACGATGAGGAGGAGAAGACGAATGGAGTGATATTGCCGCCGCACGAAATGCTGGCGGCTAGGTATTCGCCGATATTGTCGTCGTCGGTGCTGGAAGGGGCGGGTCGGACGCTGAAAGGCAGAGATCTCAGGCAGGTGCGCAACGCCATTTGGCGAAAAACTGGTTTTCTCGATTGATTCATTTCATCACTTTTCTGTTATGCAGGGCAATCTGTTGTTTTCTTCATTGATGAATGAATAATCTGATGCTAATTCTTTGTTGTACTGATATCATCCCAATTCTAGAGATCAATGCCTGAGTTTTGATCACTAATTGCTCATCTGTTAGCGTATGATCGAGATCTATGCTTAGGGCATTCCAGGGCTTCTTGCAACATAAATGTTCACCTCTCTAAGTAAACAGGGCCTAGATAGATTAACATACAAACAATCCACCATTAATGGCGAAAACTCATGGTTAATCAATGAGATATTATGATGGATATGTTATGGTTTCCTTTCAATGAATAATTATTACTACATTGTAAAGAAATTCTGTGATTCTGTCCTATGAACTAGAGATTCAAGAAGATAATGAGAATGATGGTTGTGAATAATAATTTCTTCTCAAGGAAGGGTCGTGATGGAAATGGTTGAGTGGCATACAGGGGCATATTGGGATCTATCTGTGTTTGCATATTAGGTATGATTTTGCTTAAAACTGCTGCAACCTATATGATGTTTATACCATTCTTGTTCATGCTCGTGCAGTTTTTATGTGTAAGAGCTGCTTAAATTTAGTCATATTAGAAGAGGGTAAATGTTAAAGACGTATGAATTTCAGAGCTGCTAGGAGTCTTATCATATGAAGATACAAAGTTAAATATCTTACATTGTATTAGAAATGTCAATGGATGAGTGGATATAGGACAATGATTTGATACTGAGCTTGTCCCGACCTGGTGATGTTTGGAAATAGTAAAAATTTATATGATATGTGTTTTTGAAACGATGAAAATAAGTATTTGATGTGATATTTTAAATAAAAGTCGATCATCATATAGAGTTGTTTGAGGTAATTCATTTTATTTTTAACTTTTTGGAAAATTAGATGGATTGTGCAAGAATGATAGTGAAAACACAACACACTATTAGTTGCACTACAACACGAGATGGAAAACTTGTAATGTATAGTGTTCATGTATTTAAGCTTAGTAGACTCTTCGATGCTTCTGTAATTTTTGAGATTGTTCGAGTCGATTAATGTGAGTCTGTTTTAACTAGCTCGAATGGAATTTGATTTAGTTGTTTTGCAACAAATCAGAAATTCTGTAAAACTAATGTTCGACATCTTTAATACCCTTTACCTCTTTTTTTTTTTACACTACATGTTGGCTTTCTTGAATTGTCGTGTCCATTGAAGGGAGCTTTATTATTGCAGCTAAAGAGTTGCCATGAATTCCATCTCCTTAAATCTCTTGCTTTGGCTTTGGTTTATATGTCATATTTGTAGTGAAATAAGTGTTACATACGATTTTTTATTTATTTTATTTTTTAAAAAAATGCTTGTTGTGTGAGTGATTTTTATGTAAAAATTGAATGCTTTGACATCATATTTTTTTGGAAGAATCACCATTTACCTAAACACTTTTAGAATTTTTACAGTCCATCTACAATAAATTTTTATAAAATATCAAATTAAATATTATTTATCACATAAAATATATAATTTTTTATTATCCTTGAAAATTTTCAAATTTTTATATATATTTTTCCAAGCAAAGCATAGGTATTTAATATTGATTTTTTTTTTTTTATGAAAAAAAGGAAAAAAAAACGATATTATTATACTTAAGATATTATATTCAACTATTATTTAAATGCAAAGATAGGGTGCTGACAAAATGCAACAATTAAGTTAACAATATAAAGCGAAAGTCTAATAAAAGAGTCTATTGGTTATTTGAACATGTGCTTCTATCTATTGGTTAATAAGGTGTCGATTTGTGTCTATCAACATCCTAACGATCCGTAGCAAATAACTTGAGTATAAAATAAGACAGTTCTTCGTCAAATTCCAAAGCAAATTTGGAAAAAAAATAAAATATTTGTATTAAAAAAAAACACTATTTTCAATAAGTTGGTTAAAAGATAATATATACTCCTAATTTTCTATCAAAACAACATCACAATTTCGTATGTTTCCTATCTAAAATAAGTAACAAAAATTACAAATTCTAAAAGTATTTTTGGAGTGTGTTTACCAATCAATTTTTTTTTTTACACATGATTTTATGGTTTTTTATTAATCAAGATTTATTATTATTATTATATAAGATTTGTTTTTTTTTTTTTTTTTAACGTCTCAAACAAAAAATAATATTATTCTTTAATATAATTTTCAATAAAATTAATTATTATTTTTTACAAAGTATTAAAAAAACAAAAATTAAATCAAACAATACAATTCAAAACAATTTCAAATTACAATTAAACAAACTCTACTTTTTCATAATTTGTCTATTTTTTAAGGAGACTGCGTGTTTGGTGCAGCCCAACCAATTTAAGTGTTGTCTGAATTGATATTATAAAAGTTAAATTTATAAATTAATATTGCTTTATTTAATTGTAATTTAAAATAATATACTATTAGTATTATAATTGTATTTTATTTAATGTGATATCTTATATAAAATAAATTATTAATTTAAATTTAAAATAATAAAATATTTATTTGAAAATTAAGATATAAATATATAATGATAAAATATTTTATGAATAATAAAACAAAAGTAAAATTTACCAAAACAATAAAATAGATGGCATAATTTGTAAATTAATTTATGATAAATAAATAAATAAAAATAACATCCTCCTGAACAGTAATCCAAGGGTCAGCGGATTACAGCAACACAAATCCACATAAATACGGGGTGGGTTGTGTTGGAGACGATTTCTGGTGCAAAATTGGAGGAATTCTCCCACTGTTGGAGATACCCTAATCAATGAGAATTTTCCGCAAACTAGCTTCGTAATTATTCAACTGAATCCCTCGCCAGTTCAAATCTATTCAATTCCCAAATTCCAATCAAGCAGAATCACTAACTAGGGTTTTAGATTCGATTCGATTCGCTTTCCTTTCAATCTTCTGTCTGTGATGAAGCCGATTAGGCTTCCGGAGCCTCCCGCGAGCCCGCATCCGATGGGCGGCGGAGGGCTGCCTGATATTTTTCAGGGTGATGTTTACGGTGTCGTCCGCCGTGCCGTTGTGATTGGCAACGGGTTTACGTCTTCGGAGAATCAGAGCATCGGGTTGGTTCATGCGTTGGGTTTATCTGAAAATCAAACTCTCTACGTGAGTTTTGCACTTCCTTTTTGACCCTTTTAATGTGTTCCGACTCCGGTTTGCTTAACAACTAGCAAAAGCCTAACGTAGGAGTTCGGGTGGGCTGGTAATTGAGTGTTTGTAAGTTCTGGTTTTGTCGTAGAATATGCAAGCACATGATCATATTTCTTTGTGCACTCTTGTGGATTATGGTGATGATAATGGCTAGAATTTAGATTATTGCAATAAGGTTAAATTGGGCTGTATTATCTGCTTCTCTAATGATCGAGGGATTAGAGTTAAATTAGATGTTTGAGTGAGTTTCCCAGGAAATTCAGACGGAGAATGTCCATGTTGCTTAATTGATTAAATGAAATTCTCAATTGTTCTGCACCTAATATAATTGAACTCGGTTTGATTTTCTGACATCTATGCACTGTTCATGTTCAAAAACAGCGGGTCGCAAGACCAAGAGGAGGGATCAATGAGTGGTTACACTGGCTGCCAGTTTCTTTACATAAGAAGTTGTACTATATTATGAGTCTGATGTGTGATTATTCACAACTTTTGATTGGTAGAAGAGGGAAGAGATTAATTCATTTGCCTAAGGAGAATGGTGCTGGTGTAGGTTTGTCATCAGTGTTGGAAGCTGATGTAAAGAGTATTGTAAGGATGGCTAAAGAAAACTTTGAGAAGTAAGTTTTTCTATCTGTCTCTTTTGTATGTTGAAAAAGGTACACAAATATGCTTAACTCAAACTGCTGGCAGATGTTATAATATCTGAAGCTAGTTTCAGGTTTGGATTTGGGTTTTTCATTTGAATATACTATCGATTTCTCATTTGCTTGTGTTTTTTCCTCACTGTTTAAAAGTACTGGACTGTAAAGGGAATTAAGAAAAAAAAATATATCACTTCTGTGCATCCAATTCATTTGGAATGCCTTTACCCTTCTAGCATTTGTGTCATACATTTCTGAGAAAATTTAATGGTCCACAATTTTATTTTATTTTATTTTTTTCACAGGTACCATGGTAGTTGTATCATGCCTGCTTTTGACTCTGTTTTTCAAATATATTTAAGCATTTTAAAACTTGCTTGATTATATCCAAGCGAGTGTTATTGCTTTATATGAGCCCTCCCCATATGTTGATCTAATAAATAAGAAATTTAAATGCATATCAGTTGGTAGCCTTTGTTTAAAGAAAAAAATTTCTCATGCATTAACTACATCACTAGGAAACTTATATTGTACGTTCACCTCTTGATTATCTAGTTGCATGTGAGTAATGTAACATCTTTTTTCAGGGATGGTCCTCTACTTCTGGTTGCATCTGGTAGAGATACAATTTCAACTGCAAGTTCTATAAAGAGATTAGCTTCTGACAATGTGTTCGTTGTCCAGGTTTTTTCATTAACTTCCATTTTTAAGTTTAACCTGAGCCTACATAGTTTTAAGATTCTGAAGACATAGCACCCGTTTTTCTAATATGTGATTCTTGTGCTAATCTTAAAAACAAATTTATGACACTCATGTTTTCTTTTCAGATTCAGCATCCAAGATCTCATTTGGAAAGGTTTGATATGGTGATTACCCCCCAGCATGATTATTTCCCATTAACCTCTCGTGGGCAGGAGCAGATTCCTCGCATTTTCCGGAAATGGATAACACCTTATGCTCCTCCTGATGAGCGTGTTGTAAGTTTTCTCACCATGAATGTATTTATGTTGTTTAGTTTTCCTCCTAAGAATGGGTTATCATTGAACATTTTCAATTTATAAATCTGGATGTTTGTTCACATGCATCAGGTCCTCACAGTTGGATCTCTTCATAATGTTGATGCTGCTGCACTTCGTAGTGCAGCTAATGCTTGGCATGATGAGTTTGCACCTTTGCCGAAGCCCTTGCTTGTAGTAAACATTGGAGGGCCTACAAGTAACTTCTTTTCCATATCTTTGGTCACTTGGCTTTCTCTCTCTGTATATATTTTTTTATGACGCACTTGGCTCTCTATACTCATTGAACAAATTTGAGTTAATAATATAAAATTTAAAAATCTGGTAGTGAATATAATCTTTTAATTTTATTTTTCACTGTTTTTTAGAGATGTATTATAGAACTCGTGTATCACTATTACAACTCAGTGTCGTTTCTTTAACTACTTGCCCATATTTGAATTTGTTCAAATTTGGATATCTTTGTGTGGTGGGTTGATATGCTTTTTTGGCTAAAAGTAAGAGCTTAATTGGTGGGATAAGTGTCTAATAAACATTTTGTATTCCCTCAAACTCTTTCTTGAGATTTTTGTTATGAATTTAGGGTCATTTATTAAGAATTGTGTGTGATGCCAACACTGCAATTCAACACATGGATTTATTTTTTATTTTTTATTTCTTACTTACACAAACTTGTGTTTGGGTTTATGGCAACTGTTAGGCTGATGAGTGATGAGGTATTACACTTGAAATCCACTGATATGTTTTACCATTTGATGCCCTGTGATTTGTTCCCTATCTCAAGTTATTGTGGAATTTCTTCTTTGCTTACCTCATCTTGTCAGGAGGCTGTGTTACATTGGTTCGTACTTATAGCTCTGTTGTGTGCGTGTAGGGTACTGCAGATACGGTGCAGACCTAGCAAAACAGCTGATCACTTCTCTCCACAATGTACTTACTAGCTGTGGAAGCGTGAGGATATCTTTCTCAAGGAGGACACCTGAAAAGGTTTGAAGTTTTAAGATTTATTATTTATTTATGATTTTTTCTGCTAGTGGTGCTGTTGTTCAGCCATTCTCTGCCATTCTGTTCTATATATGGTTTTTTTGGATCTTGGTTTGTAGGTTTCTAAAGTGATAATCAAAGAACTGGGAACTCATCCCAAAATATACATATGGGATGGTGAAGGTCAGCATTTTCTCTTAAAGTGGTTCAAAATCTTATTGGGACTGAATCTGGCTAACCTGTATGTTAATCATTAGCAGAACCCAATCCTCACATGGGCCATCTGGCATGGGCTGATTCTTTTGTTATCACTGCTGATTCAGTGACTATGCTGAGCGAAGCTTGCAGCACTGGGTACTAAGATAGTATTTGCTATTGATTACAGTCACAATGCGGGTAGTTTTCTAAGACTCCCTTGATTGCAGGAAACCTGTTTATGTTGTTGGAGGCGAACGCTGTAAGTGGAAGTTTGTGGAGTTCCACCAGAAATTAAGGGAGAAGGGCCAGGTTCGACCATTCACAGGTTTTGAGGATGTAAGTGACAGTAACGCCTTTCTGTTTCACAATATTTCTCGTTACTGTCTTATTTCTTGATCAGCTGTCACATCTTTTTATGCCCCTTTTGGAACCTCTATAACTAACCACTAGTAACCAATAAAAAGCCTAAAATGGTCGTAATCCAGACTGCTAATTATATATTTAATCTGTTGGCTGAATAATGAATTGCAAAAATTAATTTCCCAACTTGTCTTCTCAAAAATTGAGCACCTAGTTGTTAGCCACGTTACCCGTGTGCTTCCAGCTCTTCACTCTTGCTACTTATATATGTGATAAAATTTGTGATTCCACTTATTTGTTGGGTTCCCTGATGCCTGCTGATTTGCACGATGTTTCTATGTATTTTTCACCTTCAGATGTCCGAAAGCTGGAGCTATCCTCCGTTAAATGATACTGCAGAGGCAGCAAATCGGGTTCGCAAAGCACTCAGCGAACGCGGATGGGGACTACGGGCATAGTAAATTTAGTTTTCATGCACTTTTCTGATACCATAATTCGTTAGTTATTCGTTTTCCATACAAGCCAGTAATGTTTTGTTACGGAAATTTTGTATAATGAGAAAAGTGAGAGAGTTGCATTATTTCTTGAACTGACCCTGACCCCCATTGGGAATTTGGGATCTCTCCCATACGTGTAAAATAAAATGGTTTGTTCGTCTTGTAAATTTTGATGAGTTTTGGGTATAAAAAGTAAATGGATTTTGTCAGTCTCTCGTACAATGCTCACTAAAAACATTGAGTACTCAAATTGTATTTTGTGATAGTAAGAAAATCAGGCTTTACACTAGATGAAAATTTTGAATTCACAATCACTAGACTCCACTCCACCTCACAATCAATAATTCATTTCCACACCACATGCCATTCCTTATGGAACTATTTAATGTTACATTTTGGTGGAGCATAAAGCAAAGATGTTTGTGTATTTAGATGAAAATAGTTGGGAAGGAAAAGAATGGCACTGGAAGAATTTTTTTTGAGCCAAGAATATGATAAAAAAATTTCAAAAGAAATAGGGGCTGGGCATATTTATGAATCAACCTTAGCTCTACACGGCTTGCATGCCACTCTGTAAGAAAAGTAGAAAGAGGGTGACATGAAATCAATCTATATCTATATGTATTTGCAGCAAGCAGAAGGCACGGCAGCAAATCAATCTTGACAGAAAATACAAATATACAGAGATTGTCCACCAGAGGTGAAGATGTTGAGTTGCAGAAACAGGAATCTACAAAGCCATTAATTCATTCACATTCAATTCACACCCTCATCAAGTATGTATGTATATAAGCATGAGGTGTATGTATGAGAATCACCGATAACGATCACGATCAGGAATGGAGGTGAGCTTTCACCATTGCTTGGTAAACCACATCGATGAATTGGGTGTCCTGGTCACACATTTATACAGATCGTCACGACACTGCTCAAGCATCAAACTCACAAAAACTATAATGCAAACCAATTACATCAAGATCCATCCCAACACATTACCATTTTCAAGAAAACAGACATTAAATATGGGTAAAAGCTGATAGCGAGCGAGTCATGCATACCTGGACGAGCATTTGAAGTGCTTCTCTGACTTTCTCTCTGCTTATAACAGGTGGGAAAGTTGGTGTCGGAGCAGAACTTACAGCGAGTGGTTGCTGGGGTATTGGCGGAGGGAACAGGTGAAGTGATGAAGCACCACCATAAGGTTGTTGTGTATTTCCTTGAGGATTATTCAGAGGGAGGGCAGTGGATACAGATGCAGCCATGGCAGGCTTATTTAATTGAGAAGACGAAGTAGGACTGATAAATGATGATGGTGTCACCAGATCAGTTGAATGCTTAACACCATGAGTAGTTTCAGGTTTTTCAAGAATTGGAAGGATAGGGGTTGAAGTTGGTAAGCTAGCAGGGATCTGAGCTGATGGTGAAGTTGTTGTAGGGATAATTTGCGGATAAACAGGACCAACAGTGACCCGGGGGTGGTGCGGCTGCCCAGAAATTGCTGTTTTTGGAGTACTTGCACCTTTTACAGCAGCCTGCATGTAAATTATATGAAGACATTTATGCTGTGATAAGAAAGAACCAGACTTGGAACCAAAACTTGATAAGCAAGTGCAGTACAATTTCGAAAATTAAAAAGATTTATGTTTCACTCAAATCCATTTCTTAACCATGCATCACACAATTAATAATTTTCTTTATACACCAAATATAATTTGCAGCCATCTATGGTCCAAGCTTCAAGAAAGTTAAATCAAATATATAGATGCTGCTGCATATCCAATTATACTTATTTATCATGTTCATAAGAAGGTTTTCTAACGTTTGCAGGCATTTTTCAGACAATTAAATCGGGAATTTTTTATTTTATTTTTATTTCCAAAAGCACCTAACTATCAACTGCTTATTACTGCATCATTCAAGTTAATAACTAATGTGCAAACATGCCTGGCACAATTGAAAAGAAGCCAGTTAAACTGGTGCTTAAATTTGAGAAGTCAAGTGTCAACTAGCACAAGAATAATTCCATACAGCTAAATGCTAAAATGTTTGTCAATATAAAAATATGAGATAAAGAGAAGGGCATTACATTGAAGAACTTCATGACAGATTGATCATGAGTTACCTCTGATGGATTGGAGGTAGCAGGAGCACCTGCCGCAGCCTGTGTTGGAACTGTTTCCAGATTTCGAACCTTGCTGCAGCAGAATACATATATAATTAGATTATATTAGGAAAAAAAGCTAATCATATTGCCTTCATATAGAAGTTACTCAAAAATTAAAGACAATTGAATCCCTTTCAAAGAAAAAGGTGCTCAAGAAATACCAGGTGTATGCTTAGAATTTTAGAGGAGCGCATTGATGGGTTTTTGTCTTATATTCCCATCAAAGATTAGGAGGTGGGGTAGATGACTGACTATGAAGTTCAAGTAGGCTTAACCACTTGAACTGGCCCAAGTCTACAGATAAAAATAGCATTTCATGAATGCAATTATCATATGCCCTCTAATTACCTTTTCATAGGAGATATCATCGTCTTTGTAGACCCCTTAGGATATTGATTAAGAATCCTAGTAACAAGAACACAACACGACAGCATTAAAGCAATGAATAAAATGGTGAAAATGGAGTATTCGAAAGTACAGCAGAGGCTATTTATTTGTTATCCTGCCGAGGGAATTTCAAAGCTCTAGTAAGCTGTTAGTTCATGCAAATGCTTTTTAGGATTTATAAGATATGATATATTGTTTAAAAATAAGCTTACATGATCCTTTCTTAAGAGAAAGCTGTAGAAGTAAAAAACAAATATCAAAATCACAAAATTTCAGTTACAAAAGATATGCTACGAAACTGCTCCATTTTTTCTGTATCTATACAAGTTTTCACATGCATAAACAAAAGGGGCAACAACTCATAGAGATAATGATGCACTTGCCTCAACAATCTAGGGTGCCAATAAATATTGAATTTGAACATAGCAGATTCCAGCACCATAAGTGCTGAATATGTTAGTTGGTAAGCTTCGGGTTTCGGTGGACATTCAAATAGCCCACGACCTGTAATGTTATGTACTCAAAGATCCAAAATTCTAAAACCTTACTAGTATGAAATCCTATTTGGACTGCAACTAGAATGATACCAATCAATCACCACGTGGAAATGACTAAAAATTCTATTAAGTAACAGCAATACCCACTGTACAAACTATCAGCCTAACAACTTTTACTAAACATTTTTGTCGGTCGTATGACTTCAGAGAAGTATAGGCGACAAAACCTTTATTTGCCACCGTCCAAACGTAAGCAGCATGATATATTTAAAAAGTGGCCAGCCACCAATGATTAAAGATCATGACAAACATGTGTTAGCATGTAACGAACTTTAACGATAATATCCAACCTGCCAAACAGATTTCCAAGCTCTTCACATTCCTTCGGATTGTAGAACCATATTCCATATATCTCTTGAGAAGCATTTTGATATAATAAGTATGGGACGTGCACTTCATACTCAAAATCTCCCAGGAGATTTTCCACCATGTTAGCTGCTTGCAGCAACATTCAGACTGTTTAATATAGATAGGCATCATAACAAACTGGTTCCACAAACAAGAAGAGGTTCTTCTACCCATAAACAGATGAAACACATGTATGATTGTTCATTTCAAAGAATCAGGACACACTTGTAACAATAGATTGACACTTTATGCCATCCCATTTTTCAACTTAATTGATTTTTATTTTTTATTTTTTTATTTTATTACTATTATTTTTTCCTACTACCCTGTCATGGTACATCAACCAAGATCACAATGGAATATCTGATATCTATCTTGGTAAAGGTTATCAACTGTAGAAATACTAATCAGTTACGATTCTTTTCCATATTATCACCGATTCAGGAAAACTACTTCACAAACAAACCAAAGCGTCTTACCAGTGCTCAGACGATTCATTACGATGAATTGGAACCGCGGTTGGCCATTCCTGAAACGATAAAACCAAGTAAAACACTTCCATAAAAGTTCCTACATCCCCACCGCCAAATTAACTTTAGGGGGGGAAAAAGAAAGAAGAAGGTCGAGTAACACAACTTCTAGTAGCCTAGAGAAACCCTCACCTTTTCACGACAAAAAGCGAACCTTCCACATGCTTCCGACTCTGCAACAATCAATCCAACACCTCAACCAAATCAAAAGAACATCAAACCGAATCAAAACATTTACGTCGCGAACAATTATTTTCATTTATTTATTTCCATCGAGACACAAGCCTGCGCAGCACCGTACCCATTGTTTAGCATCGACGTTCAATTCATACATGGCAACATGTGCCACCGTCATTAGGATTTCCTCAACTGCGGAGTCGCACCTCTGCAGCACCGTCAAATTGAGCGACTTCGTGGTCTTCTCGTCCAAATTCGGCATCAATTTCCCCGACTTCGACATCGTTTGCATCCCTCTTTTCCGCCCCAAACACTTTCCCTTCCTAAGCGGCGGATGCGCTGAGAGAATCAGCGAGAATACGCATGGAGAGATGAATTTTGAGCAGGAAGCTCTTCCGCTGCCGCTTGCTGCTGATGTCAACACTTTTAACTGAACGCAAGATTTAAAAAAAGGATTCGGGGTATAAACGTCATTTCCTTACAAAAATCCAACATCCTCACTTTATTATTTTATTATTATTTTTTATTTTGTAATATGAAATTTTCGTAAGTATTTATTTAAATTGAACATCGATTTTAATTGATATATATTTTTGTTATTTAAGAATGTGCTCAAATTTTCAATATGTCAATATGAGTGTACTTTTGATTAATTTTTATGGTAAAAATACAAAAAATATATAATATTTTACTAAAAAAATGTGAGAACAAACTTAGGTGTAAAGAGTATAGTTTATAGTATTAGTTTACTGCTACAAAAATGAATTTTTTCGAGAGTATATGAGTAAATTAATTAGTTCAAAGATAATTTGTAAATAAATTAAATGTACAAATAATTGTAGTATATTGTCCCAAACAATGTGCAACATTTACTTTTGACACGAGTTTTTTTGGTGGGTATCATTAAGATAATGTGATGGAGAGAGAAATATATATTTCATTTTTTTTTTATTTAGACGATGCGAGGGGGTAAAGTGTATTTCCTATTTTTGGAAATATTGTATAGTGTTTGGGACATAAAAAAAAAATATTGCAGGGTGTTTGAAATTTAGTTTAAATAGTCTTTTAATAAGATATTAAAAAAAAAAAAAAAACTCTTATTTCTAATTTTTTTTTGTACACAAAATATATATTTGTATTTATAATAAATAAGTTTTATATACTCTTTAATTTATACTCCCTCCGTCCATTTACAAGAGTTATATTTACTTTTGGCGCCGTGTTTAAGAAATAATAATATTTTAACTATAGTGAGTAGTTAAAAGTAGATTACATTTTTGCCCTTACTTTTTTGTGTAAAAGTAATGATGTGATGTAAAGCAAGGGTATTTGTGAAAAAAAGTAGGGTATTTAAGAAAATGTAAACTTTGTAATTGGACGTCCCAAAATAGAAATATGTAAATTTTGTAAGCGGACGGAAGGAAGGAGTATCATTTAATATTAATTTACTTACACAAATAACATAACTACTTATAAAATATCTTTATTTATTTTATAAGACAATCAATTAAAATATAACTTGTTAAGGAGAGGATTTCCACGTTAAAAAATGTATATATATATATATATAACTTGTTAAAAAAATATATATATTTTATTAGTAAGTATACAAATTAAATAGTGTTATTTGTGTTTTAATTAAAAACCACGCGCAACCATAATATGTAAGAATTGTTTATAGTAAGTTACAAAGAAAGAAGCAAATGAAGGGAGGGAGGAATAAGAATATGATAAGTTGGGCCATTTATTTTTCTTACTGGACCTCCATTGGGTTCATGTTTGGGCCGGTAAAAAGATGGAGGCCCACTAAAATTTGTTAGAGGGTATGATTGTTATTACATGTCGTCCTTGATCTGGGAAAGAATTTGTCTTGGCGGTATCAAATTTACATTCCTGAATAGAAAAAACCCTATTTACAGAGTAGAACCCTAATTGGAATTTCAACATGGCGGTGCTGAGCTCGAGAAAAATCTTGCAAGAGAAGAATGCGAACGATCCTAGCTCCATTACGTCTCTTACTCTAACGCATAGAGCGCTTTCTGATGTAATGTATTTTCATGCTTTTTGTAGGTTTCTATTTACATTGCTAGACAAATTTTCAGTCTTTTGTTTCTGTATGTTCATTGGAAGTTTGTTTTTTGGTGGCGTTTAACAGGTTTCATGCTTGAGTGAGTTCACGAATTTGGAAAGGCTGGACCTGAGTTTCAATAGTTTAACTTCACTCGAGGTACTGAAACATACGGCAAAAACTATAGTGCTTTACCTTTTGTCGTTTTAGTTTGATGGATTTTTTTTTTTCTGCAATTCTTTATAATTTTCTTAGGGCTTGAAGTCATGTGTGAATTTGAAGTGGTTATCAGTTGTGCAGAACAAGCTTCAGAGCTTGAGAGGCATTGAAGGCCTCACTAAACTCACCGTAAGTACAAATTGATATTGTGCGACCGTTTTCATTTCATGTTTGGTTTGTATTTATATGCTTTTGAAACTGAATCTTGGTTCTTTTTTTTTGCTTCTAATTAGTTATTGAAGTGGTAGTTTTCTCTGTCATTGAAGAGATGGATTTCCCTTCTTCATTTGTACAGGTATTAAATGCTGGAAAAAACAAGCTTAAATCAATGGATGAGGTCAAATCACTTTCAAGTTTGCGAGCTTTGATTTTGAACGGTAGGTTCATGATGTAACAAGTAGGGGTGCTTTAACTAAGTAATGACCAGCAAGGATGTTTTGCATCATCTCACTAATCATCATAATCTCATCTTCAACAGAAAATGAGATCAGTTCAGTTTGTAAGCTCGATCAGATGAAAGAGCTAAATACCCTAGGTAGGTATGGTTCTTGACTTATATTATGAGTCATATTGTTAATTTTGTGGTTAGTTTTAAGTATGTATACCTGACCCACTATAGCCTTGGTTTCACTTGTAATGAAACTGCAATATAAGTTTGAAGTTATATCTTGTAAAAAATACAACAAATATATCAAGTATGTCATATTATACTGTTATATTTGATCCTATTGTGAATGTCATCTGCAATATTTCATCATAAGTTCACTTCAGGCAATTAAAAACTATATTACTTCCAGAAACCTGCTTCATGTGGGCTGTAGCTAGGCAACTAAGCAAGGAAATTTTGAATCATGGACACAGAACCCTTTACATGAAAGACCTATTGCTCATGCAATTTGGGATCTTTCAGTAGTAGTTCTAGAGATTATTGCATGTAACGTAGGCTTAACATTTCTGTATTAATTACACGGACAGATGCATACAAGTATAAAGGTGTGGATTGCTAGACTCTGGAATTCTGTAATGAATGTACTCAGCTATGTGGAATTTGTCCCTAATTATGTATACTCTGGAACTTTAATTACATTTGTACTTGTATTAGCTAGGAAGGATAAATCGCATGGTCTTGTGTGTCATGTGAGTTGGGTTTGTGTTTGGCCCATGCTTAAAATTTATATAAATAATGGTACTAGCTTAGCATATTTGTTTTCTAATGTATCTGGCTGTAGCCTGTGTGACATTACTGTTACATGTCATTATGAATTTAATGGCATTTATCTATTAATTTTACCAATGCAGTTCTTTCCAGGAATCCAATCAGGTCACTTGGTGAATCTTTTATCCAAGTCAAATCAATTACCAAAGTATGCTTAGAAATCTTTTGAATCAGTTCGGTATAAGAATACGATATGATGAATCTCACTGTCCTCTGTTTCAGCTTTCTCTGTCTAATTGCCAGTTGCAATCTATTGATTCGTCCTTGAAGTCCTGCACACAGTTGAAAGAACTTCGCCTTGCTCACAATGAAATTAAGGTATGGCTTAATTAACTATTTGTACTTTATTTTTATGAGTAAGCCCCTAATTTTTATTCTTACATTTAGACTATATCTAGTGAGATTGGCCATCTTGTGAAACTTCAGAATCTAGACTTGGGAAACAATTCTATCACCAGCTGGTCCAGTCTGAAGGTGATAGTTATATTTCTAATTGTATTTTTTGGGTCTGCTTATTCAATAGTATGCTTTTCACCTGTACAAAATTCTGAAAATTCATTTGCTTTTTAGGTGCTCACCTCCTTGATTAATTTACGAAATTTCAATCTAAAAGGAAATCCTGTTGCTGAAAAGGAAAATGTACTGAAAAAAGTAAGTTCGTCTCTTTCAAGTACTTTCCGTGATATGGTTTCATACTTAGATTTTGAATGTGAATTATGGTTACCAGGTCAAAAAGCTTTTACCAAATCTACACATTTTTAATGCTAAACCGATCAACAAAATCAGTGCAAAAGAAGTTCCAGAAAAAGATGATGAGTTCTCCCTTGATACCTCTGATAAACTGGCACTTAAAAGTGACATGGAAATGGATCCCCCATTCAGAATTAAGAGCTCAGAAGAAACTCATCGACTTGATGAAAGTACAGATAACCGTATTACCAATGTTGTAGATATGAGGAAGCGGAAAAAATCCCTGGATGAGTGGACTGCCAATTCTGCTGTGGATGCCTATGTAACTGAGAAGAGATTGAAGAAAAAGATGAAGTTGCAACAGAACAAGGGCGGGGTCACGAATGATGCAGAAACTCTAAATGCCAATCTTAAGGAAGAAATGAAATCAAAGCAAAAAAAACAGAAGGAGCATGGCAGTATAAAAACATTGGGCAGTGTTGTAACAGACGATAAACCTGGTAAGAAATCAGGAAAGGATTTCAAAGGAGATGAAGCAATTGACAGTGCGGAAATTCCATTTACAGATCTTTTTAAAGCCGGAGTTTCCATGGAGGTTTCTGATCAAGTATCAGAACATAAAATCAAGGGAAACATTGATGCAATCAGTGGACTGGTAACTCATCCGAAGAAGAAGAAGAAAACCAAGAGCCGGGCTATTAATCCTGCCTCTCTTGAACAGCCCCTGGCTGATGAAATTGGATTGGGTGGCCCATCAGCATGGGATGATGCGTAGGTCATGGAAATTTCATCAGGAATGCTCATCCAGCTTGATGCTTTTGATGAAAGTTTGGCTACTTCTCAACAATGAGCTAGCATTTTATGGTAGTTTCGACATTGGAATCATTTTGCCCTAGGCTCAAAATGTGTGTTTCATTATTAAGATACAAGGGCTCGTAAACCAGATGTTTGTATGGTTTAGGGTTTAGGGTTTAGGGGGTTATGCCGGCACTCCATACATTGTGCTCATGGCAGGGCGGGCATACCCCTCGAGGATCGATATCCCAAGGGGGGCAGGTTAGTTGTTTCTTACCCCACCAAAGTTGCTCTTGCTCGTGTTTGTTTGTGATCGTAATCTCTCTCTTGATTGTATACTGTGAAATTTGTGATTTTGGGCTCAATTCTTTCCAGATTTCTATTATATATGAACACACTTGGATTACATAAAATTTACAGACAACATAATCAGCATTTTTTCTTCTTAAGATGATAAACATGGAATGCGTTGAACTATGCTTGAAGATGATTAACATAGCTTGGATATATATATATATATATTTCCATTACACTAACTAGGCTTAAAATGGAAAGCGTAGAACCATGCTACAGCAATCTGCAAACTCTTATAATATATATCACCATGTGCAAGAATTGTGGCATCCTATGAAAGCAGATACCTTAAAAAATAAATTTTGTCTATTTTAATGATTTGAGTTTCGTTTGAGTGTCCTTTTTAGCACATTTGTGTTGCTTTCCATGTGTCTTGTTTGTTGTTTTCAAGAATTTAATACAACAATTCCGGAAAGTCCTTGGACCCCGGATGAATCTGTACCGCTTATGTATTGATATTTGACGGTCGTGATTGATCTGGGTGAAGTGCAGGGATGGCCCGCTGTCGCTGAGATTTTTTTGATATGTTTGGAATTCCCACACGAAGTAATATATGTACCCACGTGGCACTTACTGTACACGTGGACGGCTTCCACCTAGGGAAGCACCCTGTGATGCTTCTATCTTTCCGAGAAATCCTACGCGTCAAATATAAACACGTGGCAATTAGACATCGTTTTGGAACGCCACGTGCTAGTTTAGGCTCGCTTCGAGAGTGGAAGTAATAAATAGAGTAGTAAGACTGCAATAAAAAATAAGATTGGCAATTTTAATGGATGGATTGAACATTACAAGTTAATTATTGGGAGTTCAAATCGGGGGCCTGTGTCTTCATCAAAGTAGATATAGTTCATATCATTAAGTGACCATTAATTATAGGGATGGCCAAATTGCCATTGCAATGCCTAAAGAATCATCTTACAAGTTGCTTGTCGCCCCAATTGACCCCGATGTTAAATGACAAAAATACCCTCCCCCAACTTGCATATCACAGTAGACCAGTTTGAAGTTTCTTTTTTAATCGGTATCTATTTAAGGTGTGTTTGTTTGAGGGATTTTTCCCAAACTTTACTTATTCGTTCAATTTTTTTCTCCTAAAACATCAAATCAAATACCTATTTTTTATTTTTTATATTATATTAAAAATCAATTTAACATTCAAAATATCACATCAACTATTTATATCACATCATACAACTATTCACATTCAACATTTTTACTTTTGAAATCCCTATCCAAAATTCAAATCCCCAACCAAACACACCCATAGCAAATTCTGCGTTCCTACATCAGATCTATCTCAAATCCCCAACCAAACACACCCATAGCAAATTCTGCGTTCCTACATCAGATCTATCTCCGCCGTTCATATTCTGGGCCCGCACTATGAACGGTACAGATGGATCGGGACTCCGAAGTCCCGAAAAGGACCGCCGTACAAGGTGCCAGTATTGACCCGATCCATGATCCAAATCCCTAAGTATAAATACTCTCAAATTGCTTTATCCTCTCCTCAGTCCAAATCCATTCAGTTTTAGATATTTATAAAATGGATTCTACCGCTGCCGCCGCCGCCACCGTCGCCGTCGCCGCCGCCACCGTCGCCGTCGCCGTCTCCGACGTCGACGGCGGAGGAGACGCTCCAATTACCGCTCTCCATCCAGACATCATCCAATCGCATATCCTGAACCGACTCGACGGTCCTACTCTCGCCGCCGCCGGCTGCTCCTCCGCACATCTGCTCTCTCTCTGCGCCGACGATCATTTGTGGAAGGAGATTTGCAATACCACGTGGCCTTCCACGGCTGATTCCTCCGTCCGCGATGCCATCTCCGCCTTCCCCTCCGGCCACCGCTCGTTCTACTCTGACTCCTTCCCAGCCGTCCGATGCGATTTCCTCAACAACAAACAATCGAGCAAATACGCGCGTCCGATTGAAACGTCGGAATTAATCTCCGCCGTCGATATCTACTACGAAGATACGTTATTATACTCGAAGGTACTGCGCACGGAAACGAGCTCCTCCTGGTTCGCAAACTCTCCTTTCCGCCTCGACCTCTTCGAATGCAACGAAACGGTGGCGACGCCGCTGAAATTCGACGGCGCGTGCACCGAACTCGCGAAGGAGCGGTTGAGAGTGAGCTGGATTTTAATCAATCCTTCCGAAAATCGAGCGATCAACGTCGCGAGCGCAAACGCGGTCGATGCGCGGCGGCACTGGCTGACCGAAGGCATACAGCTTCGTTTCGCCACCGTATCGGCGGGCGAAGGCGATGAGCCGGTACAATTGTCCGTCTCGGTGACCTCCGGCGGCAAGGACGGCGGCGAATTGCAGCTGAGAGAGGTGAGCTTGCAGGTGGAGGACATGGAGGGAAGAACTTTGACGGGGAGGGATAGTATGGTAATTTTGCAAAGGGCGATGGAAGGGCAAAGATGTAAAAGCAACAGAGGAATGGAAAAAGGTAACTATGAAGAGTTTCTGAGGCGGAAAGAGCTGTTAACGCTAAGAACGCGGAGGAGAGAAAATCTGATGGACACGTGTTGCATGTTTATTGGACTCTCAATATTTCTCTTCGGAATTTGGTTATTTTTCCTGATGAGGAGATAGATAACTATAAAATTTATGAAAAAAATCAAATTTCATTTTTAAATGATGAGAAATTTAGTAATTAAAGTAAATAAGTGGGTTTATTTTTTGTTAGTGAATTTTTTATTTGATCTTTTCTTGATGGAAGATCTTATTAAATAATTATAGTTATATACAGTAAAAAATATATATATTTAAAGTCAAATCATGTGAGATTTGTTACAAGGCTGGTGAGACGTCAATTTATTAAGGCTTATTATTTATTTACGTAGTCTATCAATGGTTTTATATATGTGAATATTTTTTAAAATTTCACACTTGCCTATATTTGATGTAATAATAAAACGCCAACTCTTTATAGAGAATTGGAACTTCATTTAGTAGAGAATTTTTTTGTTATATTTTCTCTCTTAATATATATTTTAATTATGATTATATTTATTTAAAATACTTACTTAATACCACATTAAATCAAACTTCAAAACTCAACTTCTATCTATCGAGCCCCCTATCAATTTAAAAAGCAAATAGGGTTCAAAATTCATTTGAAAATGTGTCCGTTATATTGTCATTTATTTATTTATTTATCTTTGTTTTGTTTTGGTTTATTTAATTATTTAAACAGTGCTTGATTTGAATATAATATTTAATGGGGAAACTATATATATCTATATAAAATTAATATTAATATATAGTAAAAAATAAAATAAAATCCAAATGTAAAAAAGATCCGTGTATATTGATTGATGCTCTAAGGAATTTAGACAGTTGTGTTTGTTTTGTAAGATAATTTTATAAAAATAACAATTTATATAAAATATAAAAAATTGTGTAAATAATATAAATGTGTATTTTTATTTATATTTTTTTTTTTTATGAAAAGAAAAATCCTGATATCTCAATAGAAATGGATTTCTAGAATACAGAAATAGCAAAAAATGGGAGCAAAACGTGAGCATCAAACACACACAAAATTTGTTTCAATAAATTTAATTCAAATTACAGCCCTTTTTTGTACTCTCAGTACTTCCATTTTATTCAATAATATTTATTTACTCCCAAGCGTGTAACAAAAATATAGACTAAAAAAAAAATAATAATAAAATAAAATATAGTAAGCAGCGTGATTACGCCACAACGTCATTATAGGTGCCGTCTTCGTACTTTATTATTATTCAATCAAATTAAATAAATAAATATTCTTCTAGAAATTGAGATTGAATAATCATTTGAGTCCATACAACTTCGTCATCACTAAATTATTAATATGATCGAAACATCAATCAATAATGCGCCATATATTTCAAAATATCATCTATTATTATTATTATTATTATTATTATTATTATTATTATTATTAAAAAATACTTAGGGTGTATTTCTTTTGATGAGTTTAAAAAAAAAAAAATGGTTTGGATTTAATATGAAAATAATATTTGATTGGATGTTTTTGTAAGAAAAAAAATGTATTTTTTTTTTTTTCAGAAAACGCAGAATCTTAATAGTAAAATTTAGAAAAATTTGACTAAAAAAACATTGTATTGGAAACAGCTGAGATTTGATTCAAATCGGAATTAATTAGTGATATTAGTTGTATGTGACTTGTAATATATTTGGTCATCTCATTTTCCCACATGGTCTATGGTAAAAAACATAAGTAAAAAATTAGATTAACGAGTTCAAATCCCACTCAGGTCTTTGAATGTAAACTTTTTTTATTTTTATTTATTTATTTATTTTTTTATAATATAAAAATAAAAAATAAGTATTTAATCTGTATTTTGAAGTAAAAAAAAGTTTGATAAATAGTAATTTATGTCCATTTGATAGAACACGAATTTTAAGAAAAATGAACAAAAAAATATATATTTTTTTATGGTAAAGAAAAATAGAAAAAGTTTTGTACGTTTTTATTGAAATAAAAATAAAAATAAATTTTAATGACAATAATAAATAAATAAATAAATAAATTTAAATCACATATGGAGTAAGATTTTGGAAAAATTCCTTAAAAGAACATATCCCTAATGTAACTTGTTTTATCGGTCAATAGCAGCATCGGATTCCCATGTCATAAAAAATAAATAAATAAAAATTGTTTGTGTTATAAATTTGTATTTTATATTTTGATTTTAAGTTTGAATTTCCTAGTAATTTTAAAGTAAATAAAAATACAATAATTGGGCTTATGAAGAATGGGCCTGTATGGGCTGAGCCCATTTAAATATTAATTCGATGTTTCTCTCCTCACAAACGTATATATATATTAGTATATCTGAAATAAATTAGATAATTAGTAGAAAATTATGGCGCAGTGGTTATTTAATTATTGTAAAAATGAGGCGAGGACAGTGAGGAAGGAGGAAGACAGAAGAAGGGGTCCGAGGGAGGGTCGTAGTATTTTCGCTGCCATTACTGACTCTGATCAATCTCTCTTTTTTTCAGCAGCAATTCGTCTAAATTAGTTTCAGTAATGTTTTTTGACCGCTCTGCTTGCGATCCTCGTCACTGAAAAAGAGAACGGCGAATCGTGGATGATTCGCTGCTTCTACTGTTTTTGGTAAACCCTCAACCGAACGGAATATTTTATTGGTCATTTTCCGAAGATTGCTGGATTTTGTTCAGATGCTGTTCGTCCCAAAGTTGAGCACTGATCTGTAAGTTGTTCAGTTAATTTAATTTTATTTTACGTTTTCTATTCTAGAATTTCCGCTTCTCGGTTTCCCAATAAATGTTAAACAATAATCGAGAATTGACTTGAAATAACATTAAAGTAGGGTGTCTGGTTTGGTTAGTTTTGATAAGATTTCTGTGGTCTTCGTTATCAATTTCTATTTTCGAGACTCTTGAGCTTGAATTGGGTGTTCTATTTCTAGTTTCGAAATTCCCAAAGCGTTGAGTTATTTTAGCATAAAATTTGGTGAACTAACTGCAAGAAGTCCGAATTATATATATATATGACATCAGAGGAGACATGGTTCCGGTGGCACGGGTTTGGGTTTTCATTACATTTCTGCAATTCTGTCATGATGAAGAACCATTATAATACAAAAAATTTGTTTCTGTTTGTTCATGACTCTCTCGTGATTTGTATTATGTATGAGTGCAGTTAGTTTATGGATTCTTCCACTATATCATCCTAATTGTGAAAGCTGTGTTTGTCCACTTATTATTTTTTTTGTAGGTTTCTTTAGGTTTTGTGAAAAAGATCTGCAATCATGTCAAGGCCAATGCTGCTTGTTTTCCTTCTTCTGGTGTTGATCATTACATCACAATTCGAGTGGAGACAACAGTTGGTAAGTGACATAGATGCTAGTCCGCGGGAATCTCAGAAGCAGCAGCAAATATCTAAAAGAGAAGAAGCCGTCAAGGAGAAGGTAATTCTTATCTTTCTGCACTACATTCCTTCAATTGGGACAGCTGGAATTGGTAAATATTGTTGTCTTGATTGTCATATAAATTTGTCGTTTCTTCCATCATGAATTATATAAGGTATGGTGTAAAGGCTATATTTGTCCTGCATGTAAATTTGGTTTCGTTTATATCAAATGTCAGCTTCGGATGCTGAATAATTTGAAACTAATTTATGAATCAACTCATTTTCCGGTTTCTTTCCATGTTATGTGAACAAGAGCACTGAGTTTTGATGCCCGTATTTGTTAATGTACAGAACATTATTTTGATTAGATGATTGTTGTACTTACAAGTTCTCTGTATAGCCGGTCATTTTTCGGGGTTTTATGTGTAAACACTACATTTTCTTTAAACTCTAGTGGTGTGAAGAAGGGGACATATGGTTTGGCTTTAAGGGGCCTTTTTCCTGCGGAAGGATGAATGAGTGTAGCATGTGTGGCTAGTTAGTTTTTTTTTTTGTACTGAATGGTTAATTAAACGAGGAGAATAATAGTTAGAGCTCTGTGTGAAGGATGCTCAATGCATACGCATTATAATTAACGTATCTCGGCAAGATATTAAGGTATTAGCATATAAAGTTTGATCCCACATTGCAGAAAAATGCTCGTGCGAGCACCATCTAAATGGAAACTACCCGAAAGCCTAATGGCAACACTATTGAGATGGTGTCAAATGGCCCCATAATAGATCCTACCTGCATTAGGGGATGTTATTGGAACCTGAACCACCCATCGATATCCAACCCTACTCAACTTGGAGAGTAGTGGTATTTTTTACAATTTAGTTTGTGGATTTATGGAGGGTTTAGTTCATTCCAAACACTATCCAGTTGGTTCAATTAGGATGAAGGTCTACCTGCCCTATATGTACATATGTATGTGCACTACTATTATATTGATTCGAAAAATGCCACCGACCCTTTCTCATTAATTTTTCCAGTAACAATTCAATTTTATTTAGTTATGTCAAAGATGTTCTTGGTTTGCTCTACTTTGAGATTATTATATTATTCCTTGTCGGCATGAATTTACGAATAAAACGCCCAACACAATCCACATGCCGGTAGTGTTTTGGCATGAAAGCTCAATCTGCAATGGATAGTGTTGCAAACCCATCTCACTGTCATCCCTAGCTCTCATCTAAGCTTGCTTCCTTATTTCGAACCTCAAAAGACACATGTAGGATTAAACGCGTTGGAAATTGTTGAAGCATATGAGTTTGAGTTCGCATTGGAAAAGAAACTATAGAGAATGTGATAGAAAGAAGAAAGAGCCAAAACTGTTAGCAAATTTGTAGTCTATTAAAAAATGGCGTGCTTTCCGATTCGTGCATCCATTGATGTTATATGGTGGTGCAGATTATCTTATCGCAGGAAAAGAACATCCAGAGGCTGAACGAGCTGATCCGTTCCCTGAGGGAACAGCTGCAGGAATGCAGGAGCAGTAATGAAACATCAAACGCGACTCTCAGCAGCATGTTGACTGAGAATATTATTGAGCTCGAAAGACAGCAGATTCTGGAGGATTGATCATCATATCATGTAAGTGCAAGTGATTGCTTACTATTTCGATGGATATAGCCTTTTCTTTGTTATAATATTAACTTTTTTTGTAGTTGGGCTTTTTGGAACATACAATACATTACATTGCCATGATTGACAGACAGACAAAGATGGAAGAGAATGAATGCCTCCTCCTGATGTGTTTCATTCAATTTGATCAGCCTCAGCCTATTTCATCAGTGAATCATTTTTAAGCAGGTAAAAATGTAGATTGAATCTTAATTTTATTATATTATTATATGCATGTCTATGTCTAATCCAACAAGGATGAATTTCCTTGCTGTAACATATCATATAAATCGGCTGTATATGCTTATTGGAGCTGATTACAATTTCGAAAAATTTGGAATCTGTTTTTAGGTTTTGGTTTTGGTTTTGGTTTTAACCATATATTATGATGTTTTGTTGAAGTCTGGCACATAGTAGAAAAAAACCCGAAATAGAAAAAAAAAAAAAAAAAAAAAAAATACACGAGTATAGTATCTAATTTCACTTGTTATTTATTGTATTTTAATGGGATGTGGGTCTGTTGATATATAATAAATAAATAAATAAGCACCATACTTTATTTATAGAAATCATCTTCAAAGAATCAAAATTTATAACTTGCTCTTAATCACTATAGTTTATACAATTATTTTATACTATCAAAATTTTAAAGGCAATTTATTCCCTTTAATTTTTCATCATATAAATAATGTTTCATAAGACAACTTTTTAGTATAATTCTTCTTAGGCCCATATACAAATGATTTTTTAAGTATGAAAACTTGGGTTTGTTCACCCTAATATTATTATAGTTTACACGAAATAATTTATTTTTTTCACCATTAATATCTTGAACCTGCAACTTTTCAAACAGCAACGGCCAGCTGGAAGGAGTTTCGGATTCCATAAGTGTGCAAGGTCCAACTGCAATTAATAGAAACAATTTAGGATGAATAATTTGGTGTACAAAGATCAGAAACAAATGGAGGAGGAGGATATGTTTATCAACATACCAGCACGTTTTAGATCAACTGAATGGATCAGGTTCAGGATGCATGATCAGAAACGATGATCTTCTCTTATCTTAATTCATTCAAGAAAGGAAGACAAGATCTCAACCTGAATCCGTTTTCCGGCGGCCTCGCCCTCCATCTGTATCCGCCGCGCCACCGTCCCAAGCTTCGGCCTGCACTCCTCCACCGTAATCATCTTCATCTTCCCCAATGCAAGCTCCACAGGAATCTCCTGCAATCTGTAGCAATGCCTAATCACCAGTCTCTCCAGCTTAGGGAAGTGCCCATGGTGATGACCCCTCCACTCCTCAACATCCAAATCTTCCATCAACAAGTATCTTAAGCTACTCCCAAATCCACCCCCCTCAGGTAATTCCCAAACGCTGCCGTCGAAGGCACGCCACCGCAGCTTTAACACCTCAAGGTGTCGCAGCCTGCCAATGGCACTCAAGCTACACTCCCATGGAAGTCTGCATCCACTCAATGCCAGCTTCACCACACGAACAGGGAAGATGGGAATGCCATTTCCAGGGGCTAATACCATTTGGGATTTCGTAGCCGAGACAACGCATTTCAGCGACCTCACTTTCATCAACCTGCGGGAGAATCGTTGCGCAATGTTTCCAAAGAAGCTCAAATCCTCGTTTTCATGGGGAGCGAGCTGAATCCGAATCCCGATCTTCCTCAACCGCGGCATTCTTGCGAGAATCCTCGGCCTGCAGCTACGAGGACTAACGCCTGACAAAGTTTGGAGGTGATTTAGGATAGGATACTCGTCACATCCGTCGACGCCTCTTCGACCCTCGTCGGGAAGATCAGCGCCGGGGCATTGTAGATGCCTCAGCCATTTCAAATCCCAAATCTCCACCGGAAGATACAAATGCCCGTCGGGTGATTTCACAGAGTGATGTCGATCGACAATCAAGACTTGAAGTCTCCACAGCTTTGATATCGACTCGGGGAGCTTTCCATCGTATGTTACGGCGAGGTACTTCAAGCGACATAAGTCGAGAACTTGATTAGGGAATTCGTAAAACCGGATTCGTTGCGCATCTAACGTCCTCAACGATTCGAAACCGAATTCCACATGAAAAGGATACAACTGTCGTGGCCCGAAACAGAGAAACGATCGAATAGAAGGGATCGATTTTAACGTGCTGCGCACTTCTTGGATGCTAAGGATCGATATGTTGTGGAAGCATATCCGCGGCTGCCAATTAATCCCTCGAGGAAAACTATACGAATACTTCTTGAACACATAGCAGAACTCCTGTTTTTGAGCCACACCGACGCAGAGGTTTCGAAACACCGTATGGACTCGACATGTCTTGATCGGTCCCATCGAGCTCCACTGATGAACCAGGACGACACTTTGGGAAGCTAGCTCAGATAATATCGCCGTCGCAATGTCTTCGATCAACACTCCCGGCTCTGGCGTAAGGAATCCCTCAGCAAGCCACAATCTAGTTAGGTTAAAATTGGAGATCGCTTTGTAACTCTTGGGGATCAATCCTACATAGAGAAAGCAGGCCTTGAGACTTTGAGGCAACATTTGGTAGCTCAAATACAAAGATTTGGATATCTCTGTGTCGTCGTCTTCACCAATGTTGAGCGGATTGTCGTCCTCTGAAACTTTCTTCCAGTATTCAACTGTCTTCTCGTTTTCAGAGAGGAGTTTAGCCACAGAAACCACTGCTAATGGAAGGCCTTCGCAGTTTCTAGCGATTTGCTTCCCGATTATCTCTAACTGGTAGCTGCAGTGTTCTTCGTCGGGACATGGGAACACCCTGTCTCGAAGGAGTTCCCAGCTATCCTCGTCGCTGAGGAAATGCTTGACGTGAAGCATTCCGGCGGGGAAAATGTCGGAGCGCCTGCTGGTGAAGATGATCTGACTTTCGCTTGTGTCGCCGAGCAGAATTCGGCAGAGATTGCCGAATATGTCCGGCCTCCACACGTCGTCTACCACAATTAGGTATTGTCGACCATTTAGGAATTCCTGAAGAAGTTGCTCTAATTCTGCGTCCTTCAACTTCTGTAGGGTTTCGGCAGTAAAATTGCCAAAATGGTGAAGAAGAAGCAATAGAAAACTTCGAAACCTGAGTTTTGGGCCGGCGGTTATCATAATGCGCGTGTCGAAGTGAGCGGAAACTGATGGATGGTCGTGGATTTGTCGAGCCAGAGTAGTTTTTCCGATACCTGCCATGCCGGTAATGGCGATTGCGGTCCAGTTGACTGAATGAAAGTCTCCCATAACTCTGTCGATAAGGTGATTTAGTTCGTCGTCCAATCCGACAGGATTGCTACACCTCGGGATCGGAGAAGGCTGATAGATTCTGGATAAATCGAAATCGAAATCGAAATCGTCGACGGCGAGGTCGGGGCGGCGATTGCGTTTTTCTTCACGGTCGTTGAGCAGCAACTTGACCTTGAATTCCTCTGCTAAAGCGGCGATCTGTTGACGGAGACGTTTGAACTCTTTGAGAGGATAGTCTGTAATCTGCTGCTTAGGGTTAGTAGTTTGGGTTTGAGAGTCGATAGGTTTGGGAAGAAATCGGTCTGGAGTGATATGAGATTCGAAGAGATCTAAAAAGTTGTCTAATGCGTCTTCTATTTGTTCTTCGAGAGGATCGAGTCTGAGCTTGGCGCCCTCCTTGTTGGTGTAGTGTAAGAGAAGCGGTGACAAGGAACGAAGCTCCATGGCGATGGACTCCAAAACCGTTTCGAGGAGATGATCGTGGACGGGGTAAGACAGTATATAGCTGCTTGCGAGTTTTGCAGCAGCATACGCCATTTCTGTTTCTCTCTATCTCTGTATCTCCCTCTCAACTTCGTTCTTTCGTACGGACGGAATTGTTGTGGTGTGTGTGTGTGTGAGAACGAATATGCAAGCGGCTGAGCTATGATTTATTAGGTGAGGTCCTACTTGTAGGAAGTACAACGACAGCTGTCATCTTGCAATTGGATTCATATATATATAGATATGATTTAATTATTATTAACTAGCAGTGCTACGGGGTCAGACACTGCAACAAGTTAATTAATTAATAATAAATTAATGAAACACAGCTGATGGAGTAATTAAATTTGAAATTTCAGAGGGTCAATGAATGCGTGATAATTACTTAACAAACGGTTCGATTTTATTTTATTTTATTTTGATGAGGTGGTGCGCCGTCAATTTTTGGCTGAATCTAATACGTGTAAATTAAGTTCCAAAACAAAATCATAAACAAAATCATGTATGACAGATAAATCAGAAGTGGTAATTTGAATCTATAATCTTACTATCACAAATCTACTGTTTCACACAAGTGGACAATCCTTACAAGGCAACGTAAAATACGCACGGGATGAACTCACTTTCGAATATAAGACTTGCAAACTAGATTCGACATGCAAGTCACCCTATACTCAAATCATATGTGGCAGATAACTCGTGACCTCACAGTGACATGTACAAGTGAAAATGGTTTAAACAACTGGTTCTGTTTGTAGACCAATAATTATAATTTTAATTGCACAGTTTTTTTAAAGTTGTCAGCATATTTAGTTATTATCATTAAACATAAATAATTGGGCATGAATTAAATTTTACATCATGAATGGAATCCGCCCTATAACCTTAGGAAAAAAAAAAAAAATAAATAAAACCAAGTCGACTATGTGCAAAGGTCGCACTTTCGAGTCATTTTCATTATCTTCCACGCTGAACTATTTGCAATCATTTATGTTTAAAGTAATTTTAACAAAATGTACTAATAGTTCACAATATTAATAAAATATCCCATAAAAAAAAAAAAACATATTCTTAACCTTAAAATACTATAAAAAAAAAAAAAAAAAATCTCTCAGCACCAAATGCAAGAACCCAAGAAGTAACAATAGGCAGTAAAGACAGAAGTTGCAATAAATATACAGAAGCAGTTGAGGGGGAAGGGGATAAATGGAAGAGAACATAAGCCAGCAACTAGTGAATCTATCTATCTATATCTATATCTTATATTACAAGTAGATCCCGTGTCATCAACATACTACTAAACAGCATTAATTCGTAACATATAAATTTATTTATTGCCACATATTTCCTCTTGCCAAGCAGACCTCTCTCTGTACAGAACAATTGCCAAGTTCCACTACTTGGAAAGTTTCTGAGATTGATTGCCTCTGCACTGTCATTTTTCAATAAATTTGAATGTAAAGACAAGCATTGTTTTATCACCAAACTTGTAGGATTTCAATTCAAACATTACCTTATCTGATATAAGTAGGCCCGGTGGCGTTGGTGACAGGAGGCGTTGCAGTAGTAGGTGGTGGCGGGGAATGGGCTGGTGGAGTTGTAACAGCAGAGACTGCATTTGTGTTTGGCAGGGGTGATTGGGGCTGCGGAGTACCAATTTCCGACATCGGGTAGTCTTCAGACATCGGTTCTAAGCTATTCCAGTCGATCCCAGCTGTAAAAGGTGTCAAATTTGGAGGAAAAAAAGAGAATGAATATATGAAGATAAGTGAAATGGGAAAATGGAGGTTGGATTAGAATACCATCGAGTCTCCACATGTCAGTGATGCTTATATCCGGGTCAGACATTAGCCAGTAATCAGCATCATTCTGCAAATATCAAACATCCAAGTTAGCCATGGACAACTGAGTAATTGTTCTCGATAAAACCGTATGCTAAACAAAGGTATACATCTTATTAATCAAATACTCACATGGACTTCCGGCACAATCTTCATAATCCCGCCCATGAAATCCTGTGATGTGCTTGCATCTGAGAACATTCGTTGAGGTTCCACTTCAGACACAACAATTTCATTTCCCATGGTCTCTGGTTCTGTAGCTGGTGCACAAGTATCAACAGTTGCATTGGGTGGTTCAGGAATGCGTGCTTGTGCTTGTGCCTCAGCAGCATTAATCTCCTCAATACTTTCCTCAAATTGGCTTATTCCAAACAATAACCACAAATCAATGATATTCCAGTGATAAAAGTCACTTCTTTAGAAAAGATATCAAGACTTGAAACTTAAATATACCTCACTAGATAAACATCTATGGGTCCCATGGTGCTTCGAAGAACTATTCGGTACCTTCTCTGTGGATAATCAACAGCCTGAAAGGGGCATAGTAACAAACACTTATTACATGAATATTATTTTCAGGGTCCATGCTTAGAGGAGTCAAAAGAAGTACCTCATCAGGGTCAGGGACCTCTAAAGTAGTGCCATGGGGAGCTTTAATTGCTATCAGAGTTTCATTCTGGAGGTAATAAACAAATAAATGAATGTGTTTGATATTGATTTAACAAAGGTATAAGGTGGGCAGATTGTTATTCATTTATACCTGGAAGCAAGGTAATTTTTTGATATCTTCTTCTGTGACAAAAAGCCACCTGCATGTATAATATATGAGTAAGTATGCAATAACAATAAGAGCTGGTCAAATGAAAATTTAGTTCCCTCATGGAACAGCATGTTACTTTTGATTGTTTTCATCTTCACTGAGACACCTCAACTTTTCCTGCATTTCTCTGAAACAAAAAAGTGGAAATGAATTAGAATGGGATTGAATAGCTTGTTAGGGTACATACACAGTCCATGCACTTGCTTTATGACCTTATATCATCGTCAAGTCTGCGCTCCTCCATTTTCATATTTTCTACTTCATCCTGAATAAGAAGCGATGAACTGATAAGGGCATATTGAGCACAATCCCAAAGCATTATTCATATTTGGTGAAGGTAATGTATATTGTTTCTGTCAAAATAAATTACTAATTGCTGGCATGATTTACAGGGATAAAAGGGTGATGCAGAATCGCTTTAAACAGGCATTAGGATTCATCAGCATATGGGACAACAATCCAAACAGATGCATAGTAGTATATGATTATGTATGCATTAAATGGGCATACCTGAAGACCTGGAAGACTATCCTCGGCTCCACCTGTTCTCGAGACATCTACACCTCTATTATAGGAAAGTATGTATCAGCCACTTGTATTCTCTTATATGTTTCTCAAGAAAATAAATGTCAAAAATTCTATCAAACATAATATTCAAACCATACTTCCACTGAATTCTGTTCTTGAGTGTCTTTTCTATAAGACCAATGCCTTCAAGAACATTTGTTATATCATATATGCGCCTCTTTTGCACCTGTTTGAAGGTCAGAGCCCAAAACATAAAAAGGAAATCAGCAACAACACATTCAAGGTGAAGTATAACATACAAACACAATCACCTCTAAAGTATCCGCAGCTTTATTCAAATCAATAACACCATCTTCAGCATGTTTAATCAGATTGATGAATTTCTTCGTTAATAGACCTGCAAATAATTCAAGTTAATATTTGAAAAAGCAGGTTGGCTTATGTATTCTAAATTTTGAGACAACCAACCACCATATGCAAAGAAGGCATTGTACAAGATTCAATACTAAATGAAAAAAAGAATGGAGAATTAGCCCGTGCATTTATATTACCTAAAGAACTATCATAACGACAGGGACCAGCAGGAGTAAGATTATTGCTCCCAGGAGAACCTGTGCCCATGCAAACAATGAAGCAAAAACAAAAGACATCAAAAAATGAGAAAATAAAAACTGCATGGTGTAGGTGCTTGTGCTCCAGGACTAATTACAACTTTAGTGACTCTTAACTTAGTTCAAGCAAGATAAAAAAAATGATTGCATTAATGCCTACCAATATTTGCTAGAGAATTGTGAGATCCACCTTTGTTGGCCTTTCCTGTCCTTGGAACCCTTGGAGATTTTCCCAATTTTCCAGATGGTGGTGTCTGAAGGGAACCTTTTATGACAGCAGAATTAAGAGGACCAACAGATTCCACTTCATAATCAGCCGTTCCAGCTTTTGGCTTTAAGGGCTTGTAAAGATGAGAAAGATAAGTCAAAACCAGCAACAGGCATCAATAATTAAAGGATGTAATTTATTACATCATTACATGAATTATTTCAGCATATGTATCCAAAAAAAGAAACCTCATTATGTTCATTGCACATAGTTTTTCCTCTATGATAAACAAGCACTAAATCTAAACCTAACAGACAATTCAAGCACAGGAGAGAATGATCAATTCTAGCATAGTTTAGAGAAATAAATTAAGCATAGTAAATATGCAATAAATTAGATTCTAAAAAAGGCATATAGAAGCCTTGTTCTGAACATCATGGTAATGAGAGACAATAGATGACAAAACTAGACAAAGATAAAACAACATATTCTTCATTCCAGTGGCTCTTTCACAATGCTTGTCACCAATATATACAGAAAGTTTCTAAGAAAAGTTAAAATTTAATCAAAATTAGTTGGACATACGAAGGGATGAAAAACCCAGCAAGTATAGGATTGTGTTAAAAGTAGTTTCAAAGGTGAAGCGCTTTATCTATGAGATCTTCCAATCATACAAATTATACTTCAGATTGTAATAATAGCCCACCCAGGATGTATTTGAACCAAGTAATCAAACATTTTAGTTACTATCTCAATTTTATACTGCAAACCAATCCAAATTAGCCAATGGACATTTAACCAAAAAATGTCACATTTCATAACTCAATCATCAATTGAGTCAGACTGAAAAAGCTATTTATAATTACAACTAAAAACTTGTTTTACATTAACCTAGCGCAAGTAACATATTTATGGCGATTCTTCATTGAACAATTCTGCATAAGCTCAAGGTCTACAAGATACCAGCAAATTTTTACGAACTCCAAAACCTAAAACATCCACATTCAAACAAAACTGTCTTTGAGGCCAGATGTTCACAAGCATTAAAAATTAACCATAGCCTGAAACAAGCTAATCGGTGTAGTCAAACCCCATGGCGGTTATGGACGGAACAACTGAATTTAGCGTTAAATAGAAACAAAAGACAACCTTGTTCCTACAAATTTCCAACACGACGATTCATACATTCATAATTCACAAAACTCATGAATAAAAGCAACAAATCCAACAATCAGATCTCGTCTTTCCACCAAATCTCCAACCAAATATTCAGACGAACACAATTAGGTCTCCAAGGAAAGCAGAAAAGGAAAAAATTAAAATAATAAGAATAATAATATATAGAGAGCGAGAGAGAGAGAGAGAGAGACTTACGGGAGGTGTTTTCACTACGATGGCCTCATCGAATTCCTGACCGTGACGGCGAGCATCGGCAGCGCCAAAATGATGGTAATCGCCCACTTCTCCGCCCCCACCGCCAAACACCGGCTTCACAGAACCGAAAGGCAACTGTTTCCTCGGAGTCTGCTGTTGCGACGGCGCCGGCGGTTGCATGATGTAACAAGCTCGAAAAAAGCCGTAACAAAAACTAGGTAATTCTCAATTTCGTCCACAGTCGACAACAATTCCAAGGAATAGATCCCGGGACACTTGTGAATAAGATGAAAATCGAAATTAAGAAATCGGGAGATGAAGGAGAGTGAGGGTTTGGGGAGATCTGATTTGGGAGAAGAAAACGAGGGAAAGAAGGAAGTGGGGAATGAAGGAGGGAATTTGCTTCGGATATGGATGTGGAGGGAACTTTTTATTTTTCATTTTTATTTATTTATTTCTTCCGCCGTTTTATAATATTTACAAATTTATATATCACTTTATAGTCGCATTAGTTTTTTTTTTCTCATTCATGATGTATATATATATTTCATAATTATTATAAGTGCTTAATTTTAATTAAAGTGTTACTAAGGTAATTAATATTTTACTTTTATTTATTTATTCATTTTTCTTTTTTTTTCCCCGAGCCTTCTGCGTGGCAGTAAAAGTGGTTCTGTTTGTTCGTGGTGGGTTTAAACCGGGTTCGGGTCGGTTTTTGGGCCTTTATAATTGGGCCTGAGCCCAGAGCGTTTTGTATGTTCATTGTCCCTAATTTGATAATTTCATTTTTGTTTTGTTTTGTCGCGACTCGCGATTGAAACGTGTCTTCCTTTTTAGTTTCTGTGTTGCATTTCTTTTTTTAATTTTTTTTTTTCTCCCGAAGATTGTTGCTTTATGAACTGGCTTGATCGTTAGAATCTGCTATTGGATCAGTAATTCCGTTGTTGGCGTTGAAATCATGTGTTTTTTCTGAAGAAATTGAATTGGTTTGTAGCGGTTCTTCCAAAGATGGAAAGGAAGGAATGGAATACTTTAATCAATCAATGGTAGTTAATTAATTGCAAAAGGTGTTGATCGTGTCGCGATTCGGGACTGGAAGTCAATGGAAAAGACCATGATTCAGAGTGATCTCAATACGGTATGATTTTAGAAGAGGTGTGATGTCGCTTCACGCAGCTGCCATGTGTTGACTCCTACCATTTGCCAACTTTTCAGCAGCCGCCGCAGCCCTAGCTCGTGCTTGGAAGTTGGACCCCTTCCACATCCCCAACTGAACGGTGATTCTCCTTCGGTTCGACTCTTGGATGGAATAATTGCATTTATTGCCTATATCCGGAGCCAAACGATCAACACCGAGGTGAGCAACCTGCGTTAACGATGCCGTGGTTGAGGAATCTAATCCGTCTGTCCACCGCCTTCGCAAAACAATCGCCGTCGCCGCCGCTGCGGCGGGGAGTGGAGGCGATGTTGAGATCTAATCCGGCGATGTTCACCCAATCCTTGCGGCATTTTGGAACCGACGCTGTGAATAGACGTCCAGGTTTAGAGCCGACAAAGGGGGACGAGAAGCCACGAGTGGTTGTTCTCGGAACTGGCTGGGCAGGGTGCAGGCTGATCAAGGATATCGATACTAAGATTTACGATATTATCTGTGTTTCGCCGAGAAATCACATGGTGTTCACTCCGCTCCTCGCTTCCACTTGCGTTGGCACGCTCGAATTCCGGTCTGTCGCTGAGCCCATCGGCAGGATTCAGCCTGCAATTTCTCGTGAGCCTGGATCATATTTCTTCCTGGCGAATTGTACTGGTGTTGATTTCGAGAATCACCAGGTATTGGAATTGTTTTTTTTGTCTTCCTTTCGCGATTCATTAAGCTTGCTTTAATTTTCCTCGTTAATGGTGGGGGTGCAAAAAATTGGTGATCACTGCTGGATTTATAGTTATTGCTTTGCTTGAGATGGAATAAAGGCTCTTACAGTTAGTTCGATTTTGACTTTTAATGTAGCCATCAATCTAATAAAAGCAAACCAAACATTCATGCTAGATTAACTGCCAAACCTTCAGCGAAGGGGTTGATGCCATTGATCACTGGAATTTTAAAATTGCATATGACAAACTGGTAATTGCTTCTGGGGCACAAGCATCTACATTTGGTATCGAGGGAGCGAAAAAACATGCTACATTTCTTCGTGAGGTTCATCATGCTCAGGAGATCAGGAGGAAATTGCTATTGAATCTAATGTTGTCAGATGTGCCCGGTAAGTGAAGCTCGTGTTATGTTACAAATTCTTTAAATCATGTCTGTTAAAAACACAATTGGCAGTTTTTGTAATTTGCTATTAAGAATGGCTGTTCAAGCAGGAGTTTCTGATGAGGAGAAGCGTAGGCTCCTGCACTGTGTTGTTGTTGGAGGAGGGCCAACTGGAGTTGAGTTCAGTGGTGAACTTAGTGACTTTATACAGAGAGATGTTCACCAACGATACGCTCATGTGAAAGATTACATTCATGTCACTTTGGTTGAGGTTAGTCTTAGGATTAACACAACCAGTATTATTACTTATTACCAATTAAGATATCCACTGGATACATAGTTCGTTCTACATTCTCATTCCTATGTTTCTTTCTTTGCAGGCTAATGAGATCTTATCATCCTTTGATGATCGCCTCAGAACATATGCAATTAAGCAACTGACCAAGGTGAGGAGTTCCAGGCATATTTGTTTTCATTAGAACTATTTGAGCTCAATATAACGACAGACAGATTTTTTTGTGCTACTAATGTGGTTCATACTGATCTTCTGGATCGCTGTGCTCTTTTTCATGTCCCATGTTTTTGGTGATGGTTCCAATATGATCGGTTTTGGAAGCAGTTCCCTGCTTGTCTGACTGGTTTCTACTTGAGAATTTTAATCTTCAGTAGACTTGAACTTCAAGATTATCAGTAGAAAATGAGGTTGTGTTAGCTTATTTATAAATTGATTTGATTTTATCTGAATTATATACCATTTTATTAAGCTACACTTGAACAAGTGGCTCAGGGACTTCTTCTTTTTGTTATATTGCTAGCCAATGCTTTTACTGTATCTTGAGTTTATTTATCTCTGGGTTTAGAACGACTCAGAGATGCATCATTTTACTATGCAACTCAAGCATTGTATGGATTTGTTTCTACAAAGCTAACATTTTCAAGCATTATTTTCTTAATTGTAATTTCTAGATCTATTTGTAAGTGATGCATGTGTTTTCAGTCAGGAGTCCGTCTTGTCCGAGGAATTGTGAAGGATGTTCAACCTGATAAGATAATTCTAAGTGATGACACCACTATTCCATATGGTGTCTTAGTGTGGTCTACAGGCGTTGGTCCTTCTCCGTTTGTGCAGTCTCTGGAAATTCCCAAATCGCCCGGTGGAAGGTGCATATAAATTAATTCAATACTAGAGATATATTTCTGTTTCCTTTTTCAAACATACGAACAGGACCGCCTATGAATTTAAGTTTCCACAACACTGCATGCTGGTTACTCTTGTTAATTTAGAAACCTATGCCCTTTAAATTTGTTTTCACTTGAAAAGGTGACTGGACTTCGTGTCACTGCAGGATCGGAATTGATGAATGGCTACGAGTCCCTTCTGTGCAGGATGTGTTTGCAATCGGAGATTGCAGTGGGTTCCTTGAGAGTACGGGAAGACCTGTTCTTCCTGCCCTGGCCCAGGTATTCCCACGATTTGGAACTTTCCAATATGCTTTTAAACTCCCCTGGAAAATTTATACTTTTAAACTTTAGAGTTAACATCAGCGTTGCTGGTAGAAATCAAGTGTGGATGAATAAAAGAGAAAAGAATTTTACCAGGCATGGACAAATGATAATGTGAATATCAGAAAAAGGATTAATATGTGAGTTCGATTTCCATCAGGTAGCTGAGCGACAGGGTAAATACCTTGCCCAGCTGTTGAACCATGTAGGCAAGGCTGGTGGCGGGCATGCCAATGCTGCAAAAGACGCTGACTTTGGGAATCCATTTGTGTACCGGCATTTAGGGAGCATGGCTACCCTCGGGAGGTACAAAGCCCTTGTTGACCTGAGGCAGAGCAAGGTCAGTCATTTCTAACTGCCTATGAATTTTCTTTAGCTAATTAAGAAAGCCTGGTTGAGCTGCAAATTGGTACTGCCTCAGTTTTCTGAATCTTTGTAATCGTCAGGAAGCCAAAGGCCTGTCGATGGCAGGATTCGTGAGCTGGTTCATCTGGCGCTCGGCATACCTGACCCGTGTCATAAGCTGGAGGAACAGGTTTTATGTGGCGATCAACTGGTTCACAACGTTGATTTTTGGGCGCGATATAAGCCGTATATAAACAAGACTGGAAGGTGATGGTTCCACCCTGCAAAAATGTTGACATTTACACCACCCACAAGCTAATTTAAATCTACTCTGTTGGGAATGAATGCAGGAGGATAAGGATTTTGACATGTGAGCTGTTGAAGGTGTCTAGAAATGGTGGCCAAACACCAATACACCATGGCTGTCTCCTCCTACAGTGTTTGCTTGCTCTCTTATCTGATGAGTTTCCGGAAACGGATGAAATCATTTCCCGGGCATCCGAATTCGAATGTGGTATGTTTATGTTTACTTGATGCGTTAAAATTAGTGATAAAATTTGAAGTATAGAACTCATTCAAGTGTGTTGCTACAGCACAATATCATAGAGGATTTGATTTGGTAGGCTTTTTATCATCTTTTAATCTTTATGAAAGTAGATGAGTTGTTATTGATGTTTGATTAGATTTGAACTAATATTTTGTTGATTACTTTCCATACATTCTGTAACATAGAAAATATTTGACAATGGAATTGAATATCAGAATCATGATGTTTATTATTTAGGTAAAGTTGTGAATTGAGGTGAGTGATATCGATTTGTGAAGGCAAATTGAAAATTAAAATGTAGTAGTGATGGGTGGATGGATGATGCTTAAAAGATAAGTGTGAAAATGGCTGCACACCAAACTAACTAGTAATTACTTGATAACTGAATCCTAACCTCCTCCTAAACATCCAAATTAAATTCCTTAAAAAACACCCCAACAAAATACACTCATATTACACCTATCTATATATATATGCTACATTCTGCATTCCTATGCTTATGCTTATGCCTATGCCTATGCCTATGCCTACAACTACTACTGCTGCTAATAATAATAATTTAATTTGATTGTATTTAGATGAGTTGATATGAAGTCACATGAATATTATGTTTTGGGCTGCAAATTTCTTGGATAAATATATGCAAATTTCATGAATAATATTTAAAAACAAGTCAATTATGAATAAACTTTGGAGTAGTCAAAATATAAATATAATTAAATAGAGTGAAACAGAAGTAATACGTCACCCAGACCCAGTTGAACTATGCCCTTCTCTTGCTTTGCCTTTACACTTGAGACAATAAATTAAACATATATCCATTAAATTAATTGTTTATTTATACATTGCCTTCTCTTTTAAGGCAAAATAATAAGAATGGATGTTGAAAATTGCATTATAACAACTCTTACAAGTATTGCTTTATTGCATCCAATACCAATCATTTTATTTTTATTTATTTTTGGAGTGAGGGAACACTCACACATTTCATGGAGATTAAGCTAAATCTTGATGAATCAACAACTCAGATCCAAATGCAATCGAAACAATAATTTCCAATTTCCAAATTTCATTAAATACCTTAGAGTTAAGCCCAAAATTATATATATATATATATATAATGCTATTAATTAAATATCATACTACGAACTAATTTGTTCAATTATAGAAAAAAAAAAAAAAAGAAAAAAGAGAGAAATTTAAGGACTAATTTGTTCAATTACTGGAAGCACATGCAAAGAGATCAAACGGAAACTAATAAAACCGCCGTTAACGGACGTTAAGCCGGTCACGAAGTCCCAACATCGACGTGACACCCCACATACATCTGATACTTAACGGAAGCGGTAACGCCGTCACGGCGGCCACCGAAGTCCATATACGCCGGGCAGTTAACGTCGAGACGGTACGTCGCCGTAACCACCGTCCCGACTTTCCATCTAATCCTGCCGTTAACTCTAACGTTGACGAGCACCGTCCCGGCAATCTCATCCTGATTCAGCGCCGACGAGAGGTACGGCGAGAGCGGAGCGTCGACGCCGTTAAGAAACGGCGACCAAACGGTGACCTCCTTGTGGCCTTGGTACGTCGCCGGTAGAAGCGTCGGGAGCGTGATGTGCTGGCCTCGGTAGGAAGCGTATGCGTCGACGCGATCGTAGTAGATTCCGATTCGAGAGTTAGGGTTTCGAGCGGCGAGGGTGATTTGGAGCGTGGAGGTGAGGAGATTTGGGGAAGAGAGGTTGAAGGCCAAAACGGTGACGTCTTGGAGCACGAATTGGGGTTTAGTAGGGCGGAGGATGAGCCAGACGAGGAGGATTGCGAGAAGGACGAGGACGATTACGGCCAGGACGGCGAAGAGGATGTGGCGGAGGAGAGACTTCCGCTCTTCGTCTTCGTGGCCGCATTCCTTCTCCGACATGGCGGCGCCGCTGCGGTGGTGAAGGCTGAAGCTCTCTCTGTAAGTTTCGATGCGGGTTTGTGAAGTCTTATTTATAGTATATTGATTTGATTAGGGGTAAATTGGGGATTTCAGTAACAATGTATGTATTTTATGGAGTATATGGCATTTTGTAAATTGTCCCTCACACTAATTAGTTACTATCCTCCCCCACTTAATTTTTTAATTATTTTTATTTTTGTTCGTACAGTATAATTGGTCTTTTTTCTTTTTTTTTCTAAATTCAATTACACACTTAATGGCATTTCAAAATTTATAATTTATAATTTTTTTATTTTAATTAAATTACTTAGTCATTTTAATTTTAATTTAAAATTATTTTTATTTATTTTTACCGATACATTCACTCCCACATACTATGTCAGATGTGTAATCATTTTTCAAAAAAGGAAAATAACATTAGTACGTGGGACGGACATAAATGGTAACATGAACATGGTATGTGGGACGGAGGAAGTAAGTCATTACACAATATCTAAAACTCTGTGTCTAATTTAAATAGAACAATTTAGACGGGACGGAAGCAGTAATTACCATAATCAATAAATATATATAAAATAAACTTTTAGTTTAATACTCCATCTTGGCTAACGGGTCATATTGCTATAAACATGTAAATTTAGAAATAATATAATTAATAAATAGTTAAAAATATATTAGTGAAATAATTTTAAATTAAAATTAAAATAATTAATTAATTTAATTAAAATTATAAATTACTCTTAAAATTAAAAAAATAAAAAATAAAAAGTATAATTTAAAAAAAATGACAAATATAATTATTATATTTATTTTTAAATTTAATTTAATTATTTTATGGGGTGGCTGAATTGAGAGGCAATAAGATTCAAGGAATGCATATGGAATTTGAACTGTATGGAAAATGACAAAATTGAATGCCACACTCTCTCTGTTTCGAATCACTTGCATTATTTACCAACACTAAATTCCCACCCTTCTTATTTATTTCATTATATATATATATATATAGATTAAATAAAAATTATTTACACACAATTTTCTTAAAATTAAATAAAAATATCAAATTTAAGCAGTTGTGGGTTTGCACCAAACACATTTATTGATTGGTGGATTGTAATCTAATCAGGTATGAGTTTTAATTATTTCAATGTAATTGATGTGGATTCTAATTGACTTTAATTTATAGTAAAACAGCATATTATAAATTATTGTAATATTATATGAAATCAATTACACAATATAATTATTTAAGTATATATCATATGGATTTTATTTCATTTTTATGCACTAGTAGGTAAATAAAAAGTAATGTTTAATTACTTCAATTTCCAAATAATTAATGAAGATGTTGGTGCACCTATAATACCAACTATCAGGAACATATGTATAATAATTCTACACACAAACTCAACAGTGAATCAATCTCTAATTGTAATGCCTAATTTCTTATATATGTAGACTAAGCTAGACCAACAAAAATAAAGGGATTTCCTATCAAAAATAAAAAAATGAAGGGATTTATTTATTTCATTCAACATATATGGAGGGGATAAATCACAAATAAATAAATAATTGGAAGAGAGAATAATAGTAGTAGTAGGAGGACAATATTTCTTTAGACTAAATTAGAAATTAAAAGAAAAGTTAGTTAGGATGGGATATGGCCTATGGCCTATGGGTATCCCTTTAAAGTAGCTATGGTATGGTATATACATGAATCAATATTATTATTGATTGCATGATTGATTAATTAATTAATTAATTAATTAATTGTAATATGAATATCCCTCTCATTCTGACTGCTATTAAAAGGGACAGAATCTCATATCCAAACTACAAGCAAAGCAAAGCAAAGCAAGAATATACCACACCAATCATAAGAGCCTTTATCCACACATGACTTAGCAGCTAATATCATAATTCCCAACCATTTTATCTACCAATTAATATATAACTAACTAAAACAAAATTAAACTATATATATATATATTTAAATACTCAGTTTAATTGGATTCCATTGGACAATAAAAATCTTTTTTAAATATAAATCTATAGATTTGAATATGAATACGATTCAAATCTACTAAATTTAAAACTGAAAGTTGATATGACGGGCAGGTCTAGCGACGATCGATCGAATCGATCAAGCCAAGGATTATTTTTGTGGGGGGCCCACAAGTTTTGTTAATTGTACGATAGTCTTCGTCGTCACGTCAACAACGGTTGGTTGACCAACCTCACTGCACACATTTAATTTGTAGACAACATCAACAGAAATGAGATGAGAAGATCTCAAATTTAAATTTTTAATACTGAATATACACTGTAATAATGTTACTGCTATTACGCGTGGGTCGGGTCGGGTTTAGGGTTTGACCTTGTATTATTTTATTGTGAATTTATTATATATTACAGCAAACTTGTCTGACTTCACTGCGTCCAGTATATATAATATAAATTATACAAGTAGTAGTGTAAAACATATATAGTAGGAGTAATAATAACCGCCATGAGACGAGTTGAGTACATGGATACATACATACAATATATATATATATGCATATTATAAAGACCTTTTCTCTATATTTATGATCACACTTGTGTTGTATTCTTCACTACCCCTCAGCTCAGCTCGGCTCGGCTCCTCAGCGGGCATCGGCTGAAGTGAACGAATCAGCGAACCCAGCCGGCTTAGCCGGGATGCTCCCCTTGCTGTCCTGGCTCGCGCCGCTCATCTCCCGGCTACCCTCCTCCTGCCACCCCTTCAACATTTCCGGCAGCGGCAGCGTCAGGTCGATCCCGGAAAACTCCTCCGACTCCTCGCACGGCCGCCACTTCTCCACCAGCTGCCCCAGCACATTCACCGCGTGCCCCATCTCCGGCCGGTGGTTCGGATCTCGCGCCGTGCAATGCCCCGCCAGCGTAGCTATCGTCTGAATCGTTTCGTAGTTCTCTTCCGTCGCCGCCAATGCCGGGTCGATCGACGCAATCAGCGACTCCCCGTTCGATTTTATCTGCCAGAACCACTCCGCCAAGTACCGTTTCTCCTCCGGCCGTTGCTCGTCAAGCGCAACGAGCCCCGTCAGAAGCTCCATCAGCACAACCCCGAAGCTGAACACATCGACCTTCGTCGTAATTTTTCCCGTCACTGCAAACAAACACAACGATATGAGTGCGTCGCGTGGAACTAAACCACAAATCGATCATTCGAAAATCGCACGTATCATTTACCGGCATATTCGGGCGCTAAGTACCCAAAAGTCCCCGCCAGCCGCGTCGCGACGGATCTCTCCCGATCCGGAGCCAATTTCACCAACCCGAAGTCGGAAACCTTCGCTCGGAAATCTTCATCCAGGAGAATATTCGCTGATTTCAAATCACGGTGGATAAAGCTCTGGTGCGCCAACGAGTGAAGATACTCAACTCCTCTAGCAACGTCGAGCGCGACATTGATCCTTCTCGTCCACGACAACGGTTCCAACCCATGGCTCCTCCAATGGAAGAGATGCCGGCTCAACGCCCCCTGCGGCATATACTCGTACACCAAAAGTCGTTCGTTTCCTTCGACCGCGTAACCCAAAAGCGAGACAAGATTCCGGTGGCGAACCTTCGAAAGCACGGCAATCTCCGATTGGAATTCATCCAACGCTTTGTTCGTCACGGTGCCGACTACCATTCTCTTGACAGCTAGCTTTGCTCCATCCTCGAGCTCGCCCTTATACACGACTCCAAACCCGCCACGCCCGAGCTCGTTTTCTTGCGCAAAATCCTTTGTAACCTTCCGGAGAACCTGGACGGATATAAGCAAGTTCCCAGAGTCGATCATGTGAATGTTGCTCCCCGACATGTTGGTGGTTGATCGATCGTCGAATTCTACACCATCCGCGACTGCGTACTTCAATATGTTGCTAGGATCGGATGAATCTTTCGGGTAGATCACGACACTCGACGGGGGAGATTTCGATCTTTTCTTGGCTCTCGTTCGAAGACAATACAAACCCAACAAAAGCAATAGAAGAACAAGCACAGCGCAGCCCCCGGCGACAGCAGCTATGTACACAACTTTAGGATTTGTCGAATTCTCCCGATTCGTTGCAGCATATGGCGATTTACGGCTCGAGGTTCCATCCGGCGACGGCTTCCGACTTTTGCCAGATGATGGATTGTTAGAGGGCAGGTTAGGTCTCCCGGTTGGATGCAGTGGGGATCGTGTAGGTGTAGGTGTAGGCGTAGGCTTGTCCTGTAATTTCGCATTACCATCTGTTACAACCTTAACGTCCCTACGAAATCTTGGCAATGGTGGATCAAAGTCGTTCCCACTTAAGTTCAACAACCTCAATAGTCTCAGCTGAGTTAGATTTCCGGGGACAACGCCGTGCAGGTTGTTTCCTTCCAAATGAACTTCCACAAGCGACGACAAGTTCGCAAGCCATGGACTAACCGTCCCGTTCAGACCGACCCGCTGCAAATTAACTATCGAAACCTCGTTCCTTACATTGCAAGTGATCCCCCACCACGGCCCGCCACAGGGATCATTCCCCGTCCATTGCGACGCAAGCCTTTCGGGATAACCTAAACCATGAAGAAACTCCAAAAGGGCGATAACTTGCGGGGCACATTGCAAACCAGGCTTGTCCCGACAAAACGAGTTCGAATTATAAGATACATTTGCAGCTCTAAACTTGGGTATCGACCCCATGAACATATTGTTGCTTAAATCCAATAATCGAAGATCCATACTAGCTAAGCTGATCGGGATCATCCCGACTAACTGATTACCATTAAGGTTGAGCTCCCTTAAGGAAGTTAACCTCCCGATGTCCTCCGGGATTGTGCCGGAGAATCGATTCCCGTGCAGCCACACCTGTGTTAATCCGGCCATCGACGAAATTGCGTCAATGGGGCCGGTCATCTTATCCCCGTCCTGATCATTCAACCACAAAATCTGCAACATGGATCCACGGAATGTGGCAGGAATACTGCCGGTGAGTTTGTTGTAGGACAACCTCAGAGAACCGAGCGACGGCAGCGTGCCGAAGAACGCCGGCACGGCGCCGACTAGGTTACAGCTGGAGCAGGAAAAATTGACAAGCTGAGCGCACTGGGCGAGGTCGTCCGGCAACGACCAGCCGGCGCTTTTGTTGAAGGGATTGCTGTCCAGAGCCAGCACGCGGACGCTGCTGAGCCCTGCGAAGAAATTGGCAGGGATGATGTCGAATTCGTTGAAATCGAGGTAGGCAAATTGGAGATCGGACAAGCCGCTGAACGTCGGTAAGGCGCCGGTGAACTTGTTGTTCTGAAGCCCTACATTGTACAGTTTGTCGAGGCGATTCAGGTCGGGGGGGAGAGGCCCCTTGAGGCCGAGGCCCTGGACTTGAATCTGAGTGACTCTGCCGTTGGAGCAGAACACGTGGGGCCAGGACGGGGGGCCGCAGGGGTCGGCGCTGCCGGCCGCCGGCCATTTCAGGAGCTCTGGATTTTCTAAACCGTCGGCGAATGCCTTGAGGATTTTGGCGTCGTTTTGGGCGGTTTCGGCGTGAACGACGACGACGACGACATCGAGAGCTACTGAAAGGGAGAGTACCAGAAATCCAACAGCAACGCAGTAGAATTTCCCTGGTTCCATGGTTTGGGGTTATTTACACAACATCAGGAAGCTGAATTCCATAAGAAATTGGGATCGGAACAGAGATGAGTTGCGGGACGAACCTGGAGTCTGGAAAACCCTTGCGGATTCAGCAATCGCTGGAATTGAGGCGCGCTGCTGCATTTTCTCGTAATCTCCGAGAAGGGTGGGGTGAAATTGGGGGCTTGATTGATGTAGGGATTGCGATTTTTGGACATTTGGAGTGAACAGGAGAGAGAGAGAGAGAGAGAGAGCGAGCGAAGGAGAGGGGAGTACAAGAGACGGGAGTACAAGTAAGCAGTAGAACCTCATGATCAATGAAAAGGATGGAGACGGACCTTCGAATCCGACCCGGTGTAAAATAAAACCCCCCGAGACCCGGCCCGGATACGGCACCGACACATACTAGATCGGACAGAGGGGATTATGAACCCACTTTATATTCGAGTCAATTTCAAACCCGTCCGGCCTTATGGGGCCCGATCTAAACCCGGCCCAAATGGGTATTTGTGTATGTCTGGTGTTGGCGGTGGTGTCGGTATCATGAATATCAACTGTCTGTTTTCATGTCCATTGATTGTGGGGAAAAAGTGGTATTTTATTTTAATTAAAACTAATACTAATAATATCTTTTTGTATTTTTGCTGAATTTGTGAGTTCCTTAACAGATTTGTAAATTTATTTATTTTTAAATTGGTTGCGTGGAATTACTTTAGGGCGACACGCGTGACTACAGCCGATGATGACTCATCATCGGACTACATCACATGCATATATATATATATATATTAATAGCTTTACAAATTACAACCATAGATTAACTTAACAACAAATTAATAAAAGTATAACAAATTTAATTTATTATATTTTGGATATAGATAAAAATAAATAAATAAAATATTTTAATAGTGAGTGGAGTCACATTCATGTCTTGTCTTTCTTCTTTTTTGTTTTTATGTATGTGGAAACTTCTGATCTGCCTGCTTCTATTGCTTCTCTTTTCATCAACGACATAATGGTCAAAAAATTGCTATTATATTGAATTGGAAAGGTTAGGAATGGAATAAAATACTACTACTACTACTACTACTACTATAATGTTACAAATTGAGTGAATTGAATGATGTGCCATTTTTATTTGTTAGTTGAAATAGTTATAAAAATAAAAATAAAATAAAAAAAAATATAAAGTACAAAAAGGAACAAAAAGCGTGTCTATAGCTACTGATACTCTTCTTTTCTTGCCTTGCCGACAATTTCCCAACCGAGAGGAGAGAGAGAGAGAGTCCTTTTTGAGATTTATGACCTGCTTTTTCACTCTTGCTCCTGGGACCCCAACTCCCTGCTTCTAGTATACATTTTCTGTCCTAATTTGTTTAGTTAGGGTGCGTTTGTTTGAAGGATTTTGGAGGATTTCCACTATTCATCCAATTTTTTTTCCCCAAAAACATCAAATCAAACATCTATTTTTCATTTTTTATATTATACTAAAAATCAATTTTACATTCAAAACATCACATCAAACCCTATTTATATCACATCATACGACTATTCAAATTCATAATTTTTACTATTCAAATCCCAATCCAAAATCCAAACCCCCAAACAAACACACCCTTATTTCATTTTAATCTGTCCATATTTTTTGTTTATTTTATTTTTTAGAATATAAATACATTATTTTTATTTTTTTTTATTTTCTTAGTTTTAATTAATTATTTTCATATTAATTTATAATTATTTGTATTGTATTGTATTGTGATTATTTATATTGAAACATTTGTTAGTTATATACTTAATTATGTCACTTTTTAAAATTCGGTATATAATATATATATATATATATAGGACAGAATAGATGGGACAATATATATATATATATAGGACAGAATAGATGGGACAAATGGAGTAATTAATAACAGAACTAGTTGTGTGTAGATCACATGACAATCACTTTTTTATTTTTTAGTTTATTTGCATATGTAATGTTCACTCTTCATTTTATGAAAATTAATATATTTGTTTATCTCATTTTTTGTTCCACAATTAAAAGAATAAAAATAATATTTTGATCCAAATATAACAAAAAATTGATTAGTTTTGATCCCAATATATAAAAAAAAAAAAAAAAACTTAGTAATTTTAATTCTATTATAAACAATTTCAATCAATTTTGTCTCACCGTTAAAAACTAACGAAAAGTGCTTATGTGAACATAACTGAAGTGGCGTGACAGCTGACTTGGAAACTACATGACCGTGTACAATTATATACATCAATGTTATTACACATTCATTTATATTTCATTATATAATTATACATAGTCATGTTTACTACACACAAAAAGGTAAACCAATAGAGCTTAGGGTTTGTTCTTTATATGTGTATAATTAATTAACTATATAATATATATGGATTATTCAATAAATTGCTTTTTTGTATATAAATATTTTTATTGACATTTCATGGCTGCTATGGGTATGGAATAGAGAAGGACAGGTTAAGGTAAAAACTGAGAAACCTTTATTGGACTGGGCCTACTCACGAAGGGCTCAAGTTCACATTACTTTTGGGCCGCTATATTTTATTAGGCCCATTACACTTTAACAAACAAATAACGTTTTATTTGTACTTCTTAATTTTCAATATTTTTTTTTAAGGGTAAACTGTTTTTTAAGTCCCGTAACTTGACCCTTTATCATTTTAGTCCCGCAAGTGAAGCATGTCGCAAACTAGTCCCATAAGTGAAAAAATTTCACTGTTTTAGTCCTCCGGCACCAAAGACGCCCACGTGGCTCGCTGGAGGTGACATGTCCGCCAGGTGTCGCTGACCTGGCGGACACGTCGATTTATTTATTTTTTTCATTTTTTTTTATTTTTAAAAATTAAATCAAATTAAAAAATTAAAAATAAATTAAAAATAAGTTTTAAAAAAATTTAAAAAAATAAAAAATAAAAAATAAATCCACGTGTCCGCCAGGTGTCGCTGACCTGGCGGACACGTCGATTTATTTATTTTTTTCATTTTTTTTTTAAATTAAATCAAATTAAAAATAAATTAAAAATAAGTTTTTAAAAAAATTAAAAAAAATAAAAATAAATAAAAAAAACCCACGTGTCCGCCAGGTCAGCGCCATGTGTCGCTGACCTGGCGGACACGTCACCTCCGGCGAGCCACGTGGGCGTCTTCGACGCCAGAGGACTGAAACAGCGAAAAATTTTCACTTATGGGACTAGTTTGCGACAAGCTCCACCTACGGAACTAAAATGATAAAAGAGTCCAGTTACAGGACTAAAAAACAGTTTACCCTTTTTTTTAATGGAATTTTATTACAAATTGCATTTTTTTATCATTGAAAACAAAACAAAATAAAATCAATGAAATGTTTTTCTCGTTATTTATTTATTTTCTAATTTTGGCAAATTACAAGAAAATCGACAAGTGTTGCATAAATTTTTTGCATGTGCGATGCTCGTGCGCATGCTACAGGATCTAATTTTCATTAAATGTATGTAATAATAACTTGTGAAGAAGATAAGCTATTATTATTATGTAGCTTTTACTAATTAATTACCCGTAGTAAAAATAAATAAAGTTGAATTAAGACACAATTATAATAAATTAATAATGCATATGCATTAGTTAATGCTGCATTATTTTAAATTATTTTATATTAGTTGGATTACAACTGTTCCTCAACCATCCAAAATGCATTATTTTAAATTATTTAAAGATTAAAATTAGTTGGACTCGTCACCGTGAGGTCATGGGTTCAAACCCCGGACGCCTCAGGTCACCTGCCACACATGGTTCGCCTAGTGTGACTTTCACATTAGGTTTGGTTTGCAGGATATTAAGTTCAACTGGGAGTTTACCTAGTGCACACTTTTGGATAGCGACTGCGGGTTTCCACGTCATCCAAAAAAATAATAATAATAATAATTATAATCTCTGATCTATTAAGGGTTTGTTTCAAATAAACACTAACATTTCCCATATAGATTAAAGCTGCAATTGTTACTCATGCATGTAACTATATATCGAAAATTTGTGCTGAAATTAACTGTGTGTATATATATCACTACAAGAAAAAATCATTTTTGTAACAATTTTTTTTTTCTCTAAATCTACTTTTTCCGTTACTAATGACATTAGAGACGGAATTAGGAACAAAATTACGTTAGATACGTGAACTTTATGGACGAAATTCCGTTACGAATATATTATTTTTTTGTAGTGTATATTCAATTTGTTATTGTATATTCAAGTAAAATAAAAAAAATCAAATAAATGCAGTGATGTGAAATTAACAAGTCATCCACGTTTAATGATTCTTAATTTTATCTTAACTTAAAGAACACAAATTATTGCTTTGTTTTTACGATGATTTATGATGTTGGGAAGAAGACCATCATTCCTAAAAGAAGTCATTTCGTTTATGTATTTATAGTTTAAATAATGTGTATTTATTTTATAAAATAATTTGAAGAGATATTTTTTTAAATAAAATATAAAAAATTATGTAAATAATATAAAAATAATGAACATATATAATATATTAATATTTTTAGGGGTGGAAGGTGTATATATATATTTGTTTACATAAAGCACACACCAAATAATTTAGATATAATGTTAATTTTGTCAAATGAAATATTATTATTATTATTATTATTATTATTATTATTATTATTTTAAATAATCATGATGAATATATTACAACATGATCTTTTATTTTAAAAAAATTGGAGACTTTTGTTCGTGAATTTATAAATTAATTACTGTTTTTTTCTAATAATTTTTTAGGCGAAACTGATTCAACATCTAATTGTGTTTATTATTAAATTAAAAAAAAAATCAATCAAATTATTCTTTTTTCCCTTTAAAAAAAAAAAAAAAAAGTTCAACACCTATTCATACAAAAATATTGTCTTCAATGCATATATATATATATTTTTTTGTTTTATAATTTGTAAATAAAAATTTAAAACAATAAAAAATATAAGACTGATTATTTTGAATGTTTTTTTTTTTTTCACGACTTCTTATAAAGATACAAAATATGTTTTCTTATAAATATTATATTAATTCACTCCAGTATTTAAAAAATAAAAAATAATCATAAGTTTTTTATAATATTTGTAAAAACTGAAGGGACCAGGACTAGGAACAGCATGATTATAGGAACATAGGGGCAGGGTGTAGGGGGGGGCCCTGGAGCACGACTTTGTCACAATTCATTCAACGCCTTTTTTCTTACTGCAACCAAAGCCCTACTAAAACACGCTTTTTC